AGACGTTGTCTCAACGTCACAGTACGTTGTTGGCCCTGTCTCTTATACGCAGGCGTCGGTAAGCGTCGGGGTCGGATATCTGACGTTGGTACGACGTTGGTGTTTGGTTGCAAAATTTAGTCGGAGAGGTAACGTCAAACCAACATTGGTATTTCACGTTGGCCCAACGTATGAATATATTTGTCGATTTTCCGATGTCGTCCCAACGTTGGTAAGCCGTCGTAAATTTTCAGTCTGACTACCGACGTTGGTACAACGTCACGATTTGTTACTGGCCCGACGTCGGCAAACTACTAAAAAGATGGTTGGGTACTACCGTTGGCCCAACGTTGGCTAGAGGTTGTAAATATTAAATGTGATTCAGTACGTTGTTGGCCCGACGTCGGTAAACGTTTGAAATGGTGGTTGGTTAAAACCGTTGGCCCGACATTGGTTAGAGGTTGTAAATATTAGGATGTGATAACAGATGTTGTCGCAACGTTAGAGTACTTTGTTGGCCCGACGTCGATAGACGTTAGGGAAGGTTGGTTACAACCGTTGGGCCGACGTTGGTTAGAGTTTGTAAATATTAGATGTAATTAAAGACGTTGTCGCAACGTCATAGTACTTTGTTGGCCCGACGTCGGTAAACGTTTGAAATAGACGTTGGTTACCACCGTGGGACCGACGTTGGCCAGAGGTTGTAAATATTAAATTTGATTACAGACCTTGTCTCAACGTCACAGAACGCTGTTGGCCCGACGTCGGTAAACGTTTGGAATGGAGGTTGGTTACAACCGTTGGCCCGATGTTGGTTAGAGGTTGAAAATATTAGGATGTGATTATAGACGTTGTCCCAACGTCACAAGTACTTTGTTGGCCGGACGTCGGTAAACGTTAGTGGAGGTTGGTGACAACAGTTGGGCCGACGTTGGTTATAAGTTGTAAATTTCAAACGTTTACCGACGTCGGGCCAACAGAGTACTGTGATGTTGCGAAAAAAAAATTGGTTCGTGTGGGAATTGCACACTCAACCACCAGGTTTGCTATTCATTATCCATAATTCATAATCTTAATTTTAACTTTTTTGCTTGAATTTTTTATATTGAATATTATATTGAATAAAATCCATGAATGAATGAATCCACCATCAACTAAACTGCCTTAAAAAAAAAGGGGGGGGGGGAAATGGTTTGTGTGAGAATCGAACACACAACCTCCAGGTTTGCTATTCATTATCCATCATCAACTAAACTTCCTTACATCGGCCAATCGTCGGTGGCATCGCACTTACCCCCTTCCAACTCTATTTTGGAACATCAAACCCCTGTCGAGCAAATACCTGAGCACCACGACTGTGGATCCGATGTCCCCGACCAAGGGGCGATGTCCCCGATGGAAAGGCCAATTTTCCTGACGGCAAAGTGGGCGGGGACAGGATCTGGCCAAGCACAACTCAGAGGGGATCTAAAGAGCGAATCACCTGGAAACTCCAACGATTAGGGATTTGAAAGGCTTATTAATCAATAGAGGTTTTTCTCCCCAGACGAATTGAGCTTCCGACATGGGAGGGAGAACCCTTGGTACCCCCACCGTTGACGCAAGTCCCCTTTTCCCGTTTAAAGCAAAGTCTGTGTTCGACCAACTTGCATTAAATACTATTAAGATGATAAACTTTGCCATTTACATTAGAATTCTTCATCTACTAAGGGCTTGGAGGCTTCTTTTCAAGATGGGCTTCTTCTCGAGATTAAGCTCATGAGGCTGAAGGTGTTACTGAACCGGTTCCCTTCTAAGGAGACCTATCGGTTGTGCTTAATGGAGAAGCAGGAAGATTTCCTTAGATTATATTTCTCCAACTTATATTAAATGCGACTCATTCAGTAATTTTAAAACAATTGACCCAGCTTGTATCTGAGGTGTATTACCCAAGCAGAAATGTTCAAAACTTATCGACATCCATATTTATAATAGCGAAAACCATAAATAAATATAAATCATATAAATATCCAATCATAGTATAAATAAACACAGATGCTATACTGAACAGGGGCGGATCACTTAGTGTTCCTCCATGATTTAATAGAGTAAAATTTAAAAATAAATAAAAATGGTGATTTGTAAACGCCCGTTCAATCCTGCAAAGCTTTGAAGAGATCAAAATGCGAACCGTATATCCCGTCCGATCCTTCCTAAATCCACCACTGCTGGGGTAGGTATTTTTTCATGGCCTATTCTAGGCCTACTATTTAAGCAAAAGAAATCATAAATTACAATTCTTAACGTCCCTATTTAAGAAGTCGTCAAAACATAATTATAAATGGAAGTGAGCACAGTTCAAAACGTAATATGAGTACCGGTATTATCGGAGATCAAATCAATTACCGGTATCTGTGTTCTCATTAAATAGAGATACAGTAAAACTTTGAATAGAAGCCATGGACTTCTTTTTTTTATGAACCTTTGGATGGGCTTCGTTTCGTATGGGTTTCTTTCTAACCTGTTAATAATTTGAATTACTATAAAACCATATAAGACGATATTGAAGACATCAACCATGGAATTCGAAATTTTGATTATTTTTAAATAAAAAGAACGAAATAAAATCATAATTTTTTTAATTAGGCTCAACGATGCTAAAACATGCCAACGACAATCTTCTAGATTTAAACCCATTTGGCTTCTATTCGAGATTTTTTTTTTTACGGATAGATTTTATAACCCCGAAATATTCAACCCCTGGCCCGCGGGCCAAATGCAGCCTGCCAAAGATTTTGATCCGGCCCGCGAAACATTGCTAAAACGAATTTTTTTTTTTAAAAAAAAGAAGTTTTTCTGTTTAGAGCAACACCACATGGGCACCCCTACTCCAGCAATGTTTACAGGAGTTGGCTTTTTCTGAGTGTAGCTCACTGTATCTAGTGGCGTAGGGTAGGCCTACTGGCATGTGGAGGGGTAGACTAATGGGGACAATGGATTAAGTGGACACTGATAGATGCGATGTCTAACCATTTGCGGCACCAGCAGGATCGGGGCATGTTATTCTGTTGAAAACACTACTCTGAAAACTTATTTTTGAGTCTGAAAGTGCAATTTCCAGAAATTTAGAGGTATCTATGTTAAAAATGTGCTCGCCTCAATACCAGCCACTGGTGAGAGGATATTTTCGTGGTAGGAAAATTTCTAGTGGCAGGGTAGCAGAACCTGGAGTGTGCAGGTTTTGGGTTTTTTTTTTTTTTTGTTATTTTTTTATTTTTATTTTTTTCAAAATTTTAAAAGAAAGAAAACGGAAGAAAAGAAACTTAAATTCAAATTTAAGTCTGAGAGTGACATTTCCGACCATAGGTGCCGTAATCATAAATTTTCTTGCCTCGCCCCAACCATGGTGGGGTTAGGTGGTATTTTCCCCTATCTGTGAAGGTTGTTCCCTGGCCCATTCTATTTCGAATTCACCGCTATAAAAGAAAATGGAAGTACACAATATATGTCGGCCCGCCACTGGTCTCAACAAATAGTAACTGCCCCCCCCCCACCCAGCTTAAAAAAGAAGGTAGAATACTAGGGTCTTATAACAAAGACAAAGAGTTAATCTAAAGGATCCACTGATTATACGTAAATAGAATATGAGTATGGTGACTCCGAAAAATGACAGACGTGAGGCCATAGTTGATTCTACGTTTCGTTCTTTATTGGAACATTGTCAAGAATGAATAGTTTATGTCCAAAAATACTGACAAACATACCAAAAATCAATACAAGATAAACTTTGACCAATTAGAAAGAGGTAGGCGGAACATTGAGACAAATGATATTCTGATAAGTAAATTGATAAACAAAATAAGATTGTGATAAACAAATGATTATTTTAGAACAAAAGCATGTTAGCACTTATGCTATGTGAGTAATACAAGCTCTTTAGAGGCTCTAGACCATAGTTTAGGCTTGTATCTTCTTATTGCTAAGGCTTCAGCAAATAAAATTTCAGACCAATGTAGAGAACTATGAATAATATTAATATTTTCAAATAATAAGGACATAATAAGAGATTGTTTGGATGTATTGTCAGCCGTCATAAGATGTAGACCAATTATATGGTTAAAACCTTCACAACTCTCAATGTGTTCATGTACACTACTGTTTACATTACGAGAATGTTCAACAGCTCGAACTTTTAAGCATCTATCTGTTTTGCCTATATAACTGTCGAGGCATCCAGGACATTTGAATTTATATATTGAAGAGCTACAATACTCTTTTGGCGTCCGATCCTTATTAGAAGTAAAATATGAAATTTGTTTTATTTGCCAGAGCGTAACAAATTTAACATCCTTAGTCAGGTGTCTACTTATCTTTTTAATACATTTATGGATAATAAAGCTACCTTGCTTACCAATGAAAGGTAAGCGCATCCAAATTTTCGGCCTATTATCAACATTAATATTATCAGTTAAATTATTCTGGATATTTAGATTAGAAAGAATACGATGGAAAATATACTTAGGGAAACCATTCCATGACACCAGTTTCTTAATCATGTCAACCTCTTTATCCAATGATGAGCCAGGGGAACATATTCTATGTGCCCTGTACAAAAGGCTACGTATCCAAGACACCTTATGCGCCCATGGAACAATACTCTCAGAATGAGCATATTGCCCTGTATGGGTACCCTTCCGATAAATACCCATAGTACCTTGCATATCAAAAGAAATATCAAGCAAATGAATATTAGCAGAATTCTCAAAAGACTCAAATGTGAACTTAGTATTACCATGAAAAGAATTAAATAAATCAAGTATATAATTAAAATCAGAAGGCTTGGCAAGCAACAGAGTATCGTCTACAAAACGCGTGTAGAATTGAACAGTACCGTCATTAACCAAACCAGGAATTAACGATTGTTCAAGCTCAGTCATGATAATGTTGGCCAAAACCGGGCCTAACGGAGAACCCATTGATACACCGTCAGTTTGCTTATAAAGCTGATTATTACAGGAAAAATAGATAGATTTAGTACACGCATCTTTGAGAAGCTTAAGCATAAGTGCTAACATGCTTTTGTTCTAAAATAATCATTTGTTTATCACAATCTTATTTTGTTTATCAATTTATTTATCAGAATATCATTTGTCTCAATGTTCCGCCTACCTCTTTCTAATTGGTCAAAATTTATCTTGTATTTATTTTTGGTATGTTTGTCAGTATTTTTGGACTTAAACTATTCATTCTTGACAATGTTCCAATAAAGAACGAAACGTAGAATCAACTATGGCCTCACGTCTGTCATTTTTCGGAGTCACCATACTCATATTCTATTATCTTTGCTTATAACTACTTTATAGAGGGCAGTGTCTCAATCAAATCAAATTCATTTGACCAATCAGTGTTTAGTATGCATGTACGTGCACCAAATTTAAAGGCTTTTAAAAAGTGTTCCGATTTGTTTTGATTTTTGTAAGTAAAATATTTTAATTTTGATTAAAATACAATCGGCACAAGTACACATAGGCCTAAGCAATGCTATAATTTTCTATGTTTGCTTAATTAGCCTAGTTAGGTAGGCTAGGCTGACCGATGAGTTGAGTTGGTGAGGATATTTTAGCTAGGGCCTAGGCCTAGGCCTACTACTAGGCCTAGCTTCTCTTTCTAGCTAGGCTAGACTAGGCCCTAGTCTAGCCTAGGCTACGTTGTGGCTATTTTTACGACGAGTCGTGTAGATAGCTCCCAAATGCTATTGTGCTATCCTCGTTGCGGTGGAAAATAAGTCGAAGTCTTGAACTGAGCAAACCGCAATGCTAAATCTAGCCTAGGGAGGCCTATCTCTATATTTTTCACAATTATTTAAAAAAAGGGAGAAAATTACATTCAAACTTAAATCTGAGAGTTTCCGGCCATCGAGCTAGTAGAGGTGCCATAATCATACTTTCTGCGATTTTTTCTTACCTCAGCCCCAACCATAGTGGGGCTGAGGCATGTGGCCACTCAATCTGTGCATCCCACCCAAGGCCTAGGCCAACTCTATTTCGATTTCCTGGACCCTCCACTGTTGAAGTACCATTTTCCAGTTCCTAGAATGGTAATATTTATCCGTTGGGGAGAAAAGAGATGGTTTTGTCAGGAAATACTATATCAGGGTCAGGGATACCCCGGGCCCTGACATGATGAATAATTCATTGTGGTTGTGGAAGCAATCTTGACATCGTCTTTGTTTGGAAAATACAACAATTATGAAGTCATATAACAGTGGCTTGATGCCTATAAAATAACTAATACTAATTCCCCAAACTTCGTCAGATATCCGTAGCTTCCTGGGAGCTTTGCCTCCCTGAACCCCCACCGGTGGGAAAACGTTTCGCTGCCGTTGTAGAATGGAATGTTTTCAAAAAGTGTTCGCTATCCTACAGTACGACTACAGTACACACACAGTACTTATTGCTATAACCTTAGGCAGAAGGATGATGGGGTTTAAATTCAATAATTTCTGGGTGGTTGGTTTAAAAAAGAGTAAAACAAAGAAAGAAGTAGAAAGATAGTGCTAGATCTACAGATTCCCATCTTTTTTTCATTTCATTCATTCAACAGATAATATATCGTGTATCTGATTTTACATATTTGCTGATGCTAACAATTCTGTGCTACTCTGCTATGTTTCTCAGTATTGTTTTTATGTCTTTTTTAATAGTTAACAAATTAAAGTATGTTCCATCACACTCCAGTTGAAGTGGACAAGGAAAACAAAAACTCTCAAGGACTTACCGTGAGTTAAACAAATTTGAGATTAGGAAAGAAATGTTACCTTTCATAAAAAAATAAAAAAAAATATTAAGGTTCTACATTGATGAAGATGACATAATATATATTGAAATAGGACAAATATAAAAATAAAATATTATAAGAACAGAGTACAAATACAATTTTGTTAAAAGTTTTAGAATTTTACCTAAAAATGTTGGTGATTATGTCAATATGATCTCACAAATGATGCATCTCGTACCTGGTGAGACCTCACAAATAATGTGGCAGTGTTTAATGAGGAAAAGAAAAATTATTTGGTAAAAATTTTCACTTTGGCCTATTGTAATTTGTATTTGAAATTAGAAATACATTTGTATTGATTGGAAAAAAACTGGTGATCTCATATGGTACATCTTATTTCTTGGTGAGACCACTCATGTTATGTATTTTTCGGTGTTTTTATTTTATTCTCTAATGCTATCCTTTTCTTATAGAAACAAGTTTTAAGATGTAAAACACCTCACCGTAGGCCATTAAGTGTTGTTAACTCCTCTGACACTTTTGGAGCTACACCCTCTAGAAAAAAACTCTCCACAAGTTATCAATCAAGTTTCACACCAGTAAGGTCTCTCAAAAAGCAGCCCCTCCCACAAAATACGCTATGCATTTTAGCAGATGAATCTTCCAAGAATGCGTCGATTCCAAAACACAAGGAGACGAAACAGAGTTCGGAGGAAGCTACCCTGAAGCTATCATCACACGATTTGAACATAATAGCTGAAAAACAGGTACTTTTAAAGCATTTGGTATCTTCTTAGTAATATTTTTGGGAAAACCTTTCAAAATTTAATAACACTTGACTGCTCATCAAGTAAATTATTGAAATTTCCAATAAGATACAGTTCATGGACTTTCTATGAAAATCATTTTAATATTGATTACTGACAAGTAAGTTACAGCTAAACAAATTATCTTTCTATGTTGGATGTCAGTATTTTAGTATACATGTAATGTAAGTATGAGAATAATCATTTTAAACTTTGATTATAAATGTTTTTATCAATACTGTAGTATATGCCCCCAATTTTTAATACTTCAATCACTTGTTTTTCTTTTTTCTTAGTAAGTATTTGTATAAATGACATAAACAAACGATATCAGTCTGCAGGCAGCATGTTGTATATTTTCTTTAAACCTTAATAAATAGATGTTATAAATTGATTTCTTTAGCACCATTGACTATCATGCATGCAGAAGACATTGATGACAGAATACATTTTTAGGAAGCATTAGTTATAGTTTTGTGTCATCCTAACTATATAACAAAAAATTATTTTAATCTTTTTTTTTTAGGACCTCAATCGTCAATGGAAAATTTCTAATAAAGTCAATGGTGCGTTACTGGATGATGATAAGCCCATTGCAGATTATGTCCACTCCATTATTCAAAGGCAACTATCAATTCTACAAGATGAAGTTGAAGATTCATACAGAGACAAGGATGGAACATCTGTAATTGAATCTCTTTCATATAACAGCATTTCTGAGAATATAAACTCAAGTGGTGAAGTGGACAAGTATCTTTCAGAAACAGACAATTCATTACACTTTTCTCAACATAGAATTGAAAGTTCATGTGATGATACCTGCAGTTTTTCTACCTTGCTATTACATAACCTGAGTTCATCTGTATCTGAAATTGTACCCACACAGTTCGATGAATCTCTAAATGTTCATGACTCAACCTCTTTACTGATTGAAAACAATGCTGAGAATGATAGTGGGAACCTCTCCTGCAAGAGTATGAGTGAGGATCGCTCAGAATCTTTACAAAGTACATCTTTGCATGCGGTTGATATTTCTGACAGGTCTTCTGATGCTTCCCCACAATGGCAGTTAGATGGGTTTACCTTGATCACAACCAGAGATACTACTGACTGTGTCGCACCTTTTCAATCAACATGGTGCCCAGTTGAAATGAAAGATGGTTTCTCGCAAACAAGTCCAATACCCCACGTTTTAGATTACAATTCACCAGTAGATAAGGATGACTTTTCTAACAAAATTTCTATTTTGAAGAGGGAAACAACTCTAGAAACACTTAATAGAGAATCAGAAGCAATGGATGTGGCGGTTACCACAATACCAGTCAATATGGTAAATGGTTTCTCACAGATGACACCAGCCTCTTCTAAAAAAGAAAGCACAACAACCCCATGGCCTGAGCTTAATTTGGCAGATGGTTTAAAAGATTTCCTACCAAAAGAGCTGATAGATGTGATGTCTCAGACGACTCCAAAATCATGGCAGGAACAAGAGACCTGTATGACCCCTGTTGCTGAATTGGTGACGGTTGATGAAGCTGTCAATATCACACCTGCAACAATGAAAGATACCTCTTCCCAGATGACTCCACATTTCTTCAATGACCAATCCACTGCCATCACTCCACACCATGCATCGGATGCAACCACATGTACGTCTCCTCTAGCCAATATTAATTTAAAGTAAGTCAAATTTTCAAAAGCATGACACTAATATAAACAAATTTAAGATTTTTTTTTTGTCTGAAATGTCTGTCTGACATGTTTTTACCCTGTTATAATTGAAATATATTCAGCTTAAAAGATTTATATTCACATTTTCACTTGAAATTGTATTTATATAACTTGTATTTGTTTTATTTATTAAGTTTTGACCAAAGTGAAAAGCAGGAAAATCCTGAACTCCAAAGTCACCTAGAGACTGCTGTCATCTGCAATGAAATTCTGCGACAAGACATTCAGTCACTGGAGAGTAAGGTGCAGGGCATGAGAACTCAGGTGAAAGAGAAGGAGCAGGAAGTGGCTCTGCTGACTGACAACTTATCTGAGAAAGAACAATACATCAAGGTGATTTCATAACAACTATTGTATTTTCCTTTTCGCTTAGATGTAATGATCTTCAGCGCTCTACATTTGCAACAAAATTAGTGTTAGATTAATAATTTTCTTTTAAACAAAACCAAGTATTATTTTACTATTGCCAGTATTGAGTATCCTGGATGATACCCTTCTTCTGAATTATGGTAGATCCTTCTTTCCGGTTGTAAAAAATCCTGACCATTGATGGCGCCAAACAAAGATTGTATAGTGTGACTTGAAAAATGGTCCCCCTTGTTTCTATTCATAATGAGGGATCCTTTAAGTCTGATCCAGATGGCTTTCCAGATTCTATGGGCGTTGCCTCAAACTCCTTACCGAGAATTTTGTAATTGTCCCATTGAATAAAGGTATCTTGCTTTCAACATTATACATGTTGATTAATGTTACTTCAGCACAATTGTTAACCTAGTAAAATATATCTGTACTGATTTTACATTGCTACAGGCTTCACATCAAAAGTTGATAGATGACCTGCAACTCCGAATTGAAGAACAAGTTAAACAGATCGGATCCCTTCAAACGACACTCCGTCAGGTACAGTATGTGTATTACAACAAATCAAGGTTATGCACTCTGTAAATTACTATTTCAGTTTGTTTTTAATGCATTTTCGTTTATCAAAAACTGTTATAGGTGTTTAAAAAAAACCAATCATGATTGTCTGTCTGAACTACTTGACCACAAGATAGAACAGCGTCAAGCAGCTTTAGTGTTTATATTAAATACAATCTCAATAGGAGCCATGTTAAGAGATATAACCAAAAACCCATGAAATCAAGTTTGGATGTGGTTACTCCCTCATTTTACACTTATTTCATAGTTTCCTTTGAGAGCTTATGGTCCAGGTGCGGTGCCTAGGTACCCTGGTGGGCTCCAGAAAAAAAATCTCTTTTATGGGTCAACTGATAAAGCCCCTTAGGGCTGAACCATTGTAGTACATATATAAATGTGAATTTCATCATTATTTTTATGTTTTTGTATACAAGGGGAGTGCTTTATTTGGTTTAAAAGAGGAGATTGGCTCAAAAAGGAATTGAGATAAACCACAGAAACCCTCTACATGGGCCTGGTATTTTATGATGTCCATCAAAACCACTAATTTATAGTAATAGAAACAAAACTGAATGATTGTTTACAGAAGTCTAATGACATTAATTCTCTGGAAGCAGACATCAGTTGTATGAGGGCGCACTACCAGAAGCAGATTCAAAATCTTCAGCAGGATCTTTGCCGTGCTTATCGTCAACACAAGAAAGAAGCAGAGAAGATGAAAGAAGAGATCAACCAGAATGCCAACATGCAACAAGAACTCCAGGCTGCGAGAGATCGTGTGAATGAACTCGAGGAGAGTATCAAAGCTTTCTCACACCTTGAGCGTGCTCTTGAAGAAGGGAACCAAGTGCAAGTATGTTTAATTTGCAGTACCTCAAGCAGTCAAACACTCCAATATGATTTTAGTTCACACCAAACATAAACAAACATTAATCTGAAACTTAATTGTATTTTTTAATAATTGAATTTTGGTTCCCACTTTATAAAAGCTGTATAGTTTCTGTGGGAACCTTTCATTTTGAACCATGATGACTTTTGTTCCATTAATACAATTATTTATAATTTAAAAGTTATCATATGTCTTAGTATATTTTATTTGGTTATGAAATGAGAAATGAATAAATATTACTTTGTTGGGGAAAAAAACATAATTATTCTATTTCTTTGTGTACAGTGATCACAAAGTAATCACAAATTTAATTCATGTACATTCATTTTTTTTATTTTTTTTATTCTAGGAGGAGATGGAATGCCTAAATGATTACTATGCTGGTCTGGAAGTGTTGATAAAACAGATGGAAGATGAGTGTAAGAAGTACCAAGAAGAGGTAGGCAAACCCACTTGATCACATATATTTCATGCAGCAAGTGATAATTTGTTAGACTTAATAGCATCTCATGTCATCAAGGCCTCTGAATACTCCATATTTTATACCCAGTCATTGGATTAAACTCATGTGGAGAACATACTCAGCTCTCTAGAGAGTATTCTATAATCTTTGTGCAGCTAGTAATCAGCGCATATTTGTTTGAACTTACCAGGAACCCACTTGTACTCCTGGGTGGAGGGAGACAATCATAGGTAAAGTGCCTTTCCAAAGGACGTAAGTGAAATGCACAGTGGTGGATTGAACCTCCGATCTCAAAGTTGGGAGCAAAACTGCAACCACTGTGCCAAACCACTCTCGTACATAACTAGATTTGACAATGCAATCAGGCTACTGACTATAATGTACCAGTTCTCTTCTGTTATTCACTTAACCAATGTAGATTTTAGTTACAGTATACACATTAATTTTCAAATATATTATTGATTTTTTAATTGTTACCATAATTCTAAATATCGGAATGTATTATATTTATTCAACACAAATTATAAATGCAAATAAACACATGAGGGTACAATTTTTTTTTTCACCAGAATTTACTGATGAAGGTAAAGATGGAAGAGAACGATGCATTAAAGAACAGTGCTCTGGATGAGGCTAGGGAGTCTAATGAAAACATAAGTGAAATTAGGATGGAACTGGAACTCACCAAGGCTGAGAAGTCACAGTTAGAAGAACTGTATAGTAAGGCTAGCCTGGAACTTGGCGTGGCTACACAGCAGTACACTGATTTCTTAGCTGACTTGCACAGTACAAAAACTGGTAAAAAGCTGTTTATTTGCATTGTTGCTAAAACTATTCTCTTTTTTATTATTTGTAATCTGTACACAGATCGTATTGTTTATTTACTGTTCCATTTTACAAAAGTGTCTTGTAAACTACTCTAAATATGTGTGTTTGTTAATTTTTTGTTTTTGTTTTGTTTTGTTTTTTTGTTCCTATAAACAAATTAAATTATTATTATTACAATTTGCTTGTAAACTACTCATTAAATAGACAAGATACAAGATGAAATTTATTGTCAAATGATTACATTCGAGATTCGTTATTTCAATTGTCATGGCAACACATTTTTGTTTTGACAAGAAAAGTGATTTTGAGTCAAATAGCAGAACTAAAATTCTCACCCCTCATGATTTCACCCCAGAACTTGAGCAGTACAAGGACACTGTACAATCCCTGCAGGAACACCAGAGTTTGCAAGATCAGAAAGCTGTTGAGAGTTGCCTGCAAGAAATGTGTTTGGAGGCCTCTTTGATTATAGAAACTAAACAAGCTTGCAAGCAGAAAGCTCAAAGTAAATTAGCAATTGCAGAACTAGAAGCTGTTAATGGTACACTTAGCAAGAAATGTTTTGAGTAAGTAATCATATTAATAAAATAATACTTCTTTGTAGTAATTTGTATAAACAATATTTAATGGTGTGTTTTTGGGGGGTTTTTTTCTAAAAAAAGTCAATGGTTGCATCTGACTTCTACCATAGATACGTGACTCCCTGTTTTTATCGATTATTACATTAAAAATCCCAACCCGTTAACATAGACTCAGAAATACCGAGATAGTGTCCAGCTGGGGATAGTTTTTTACCATAATTAAGTCTTTGTAACATGGTGTAAGTATATTAAGCAACTTAATTTCATGTCGCCTTGTTGTGACTATGACAATATAGTTTATTTTAACTTTATTTTTCATCTTGCATATTCTTAATACGGGGAACAACTGACCAAGTGAAATAGCATTTTTTTTAAATATTTACTTTGATAACATAAATAATACAGTAATAATAATGTACTACTAATAATACTAATATAATTGAAACATTTTGTTTTTATAAAATACATAAGGCATCTGGAGAGTTGGCAATATAAGAAGAAACAATTAAATATTATCATCTTTAATTTGAATCAGGTTGCAATCTGCTCATGAAGTTGAGATGCGAGAGCTACAATCAAAACTAGGTGAGCTTGAGGAAGAGAATCTTGTGAGTCGACGTCGCATATCTGATCAGTTTCAGGAGATTAAAGCTATCTTTCAGGCCAAGGCAGAGTTATATGAAACTAAACAAAGCATAAAGGTTAGTATCACAGTGCTTCCCTCATGAATCACTATTGGGTGGCTTATTTTTATATATTATATAATAATAAGCCACCAAAAAAAATCTAGAGTGGCTATTGTTCTCTGTACATATTTATTAATTATTCAGGGGCGGATCCAGAATTTTTCAAGTGGGAGGGGTGCCCCCACAACATTTTCAGAATAGATAAGTGAGTAGTGCTTATTTCAATGCATTGATATGCATTGAAATTTGAAAATTTAGTGGCAAGAGGGGGAAGCACGTGCCCCCTGTGTTCCCCCACAGGAATGGACTTTTCCGCTAAGCCCTGCCCTTGAGTATTCTTACTAAAGTCCCACAAAACAATAGCTTAAATGTAGTTAAACACATGTGCTTAGGGGACAAAAGGCATGTGTGTTTGTAGGAATCCCATTTGTAGGACACGCATGTATTCCTAGCATTGTTTTAATTGGTCGATTGTTAAGTTTGATCAACACACCAGAAAGGGCCATTGAACTCGGGACCCTGAGGTTGGAAGGCAATCATCTTAGCTACCAAGCTATACCCAGGAGAATAGATCCTATATGTGTAATTATGCTAATTGGTTATTTTGATAATAACTTTCCCCTTCATGAATTTGTGCTAAAATATAGGTTTAATGTAATTCATGTGGCTATTATACTGGTGCGTAAATATAGTTTACTTTTTTGTATGTTTACCAGAAAATGGAAGAAAAGTACAAAGAATCACAAGAATTTGTAGAACAAGAATGCAAAGCATTGAGTGAGGCATTAGAGGAAAAGGAAGAAGAATGTAAGTCAGTAATACTGGAGTTGTCTCGTTACAAAGTGGTGATGTACACTAAACAGGAAGACGTTGATGAACTTCAAGAAAGCGTAGCGGTGCTAAGGTAAGCTTAAGCTGCTTGGTCCTCAAAATTAGATTATAGCAGCATTTTGATTGATATGCAATTAAATTGCAAGTCATCTTTTATCATTCTCCTGATGACAGTCAGTGTAATCTCACCGAAAACCTTATATTCTGCAATTCTTATTTGAATTATTTTTATTGTTACTATTTTTATGTTTGTCAAGTTTTGAAATAAAATGTAGCATGGGAAAGAATAATTGAACGTTGAGACAACCAACCAGTGGTTTTATTTCAAAAACAAGGTTTTTACACATGGTGAACTGAAAGTTTTATGATTTTTTTTAGATTTTGCTATTTAGATTTGCCACAACTTTTGGCCAAATTTTTAAGAAATGTTACAAATTGTCTTTAATTTTTTATTTTTAAAAAGATTTTTGTATTATTTTTTTGCATTAATAAAGTTTTAAATTGAAAAATATAATTGTGCAATTATTCTTATATTGAGATCATTATGTACAGTATATTGTTATAAGTTTTTTCTCTATAGTCCTGTAGGCCCATTGTCCACAGTCTTTGAATAAATTGACTTATTCACTATAGTCCAGTTTTTCATGTTAGATTAATGTGTTGATAAATCAGTGGTGTGATAAAATATGAATATTTGACATTGATTGTGTTCCTACTCCTGATAGGCAGCAACTGACTGATTGTGAAAGTGAGCTGGACAACACAAAGGCAAATGCTCACCTAATGCTACTGAACCAACTGTCAGAGATAACAGAAGCATCAAATGAGATTTCTGGTCTTGAATCGCAAATGATTACTGTATTCAACTCACTCATGGACTCAAAAGATCGTCAAAATTATCAGGTATGATGGAAATATTTTATGTTTCACTTGGATTTTTGTCTATTTTCATACATTATAATAATTTTTTTCCTAATTGTTAAAAAATGCATAGTTTCTGTTGTACTGTAAAACATAAAAAAAGTTTGTTTGTTCACTTTTAATGGGCTTCTTTTGAATACTGTATATACTTCTGTATGAGATTGCCTTATTTTAGAGATTTGCATACTAAAGACTGGCTTCTGGTTGAGATGGCTTCTTCTCGAGAATAAGCTCACTGGGGTCCTTTTTGCGATTTCAACGTATATTGAAAGCATCACATGAAAGTTGCTTCTAATCTTAGTTTTTGTTCTATGTTCTCAGAGAGATTCTCCAGAGAGACCTGATGATAAAACCAATAAAACAGAAAATTCAATGCCATTTGAAGATTCATGTGCAATGATGCCCCCTGGCGATTCACTTGTAGCCTCAATCCTACATGCCGTACAAAGCAGCGTGGATGATCCCAACAAAAAACCTTGTGTATCTGATACAGAATCTAAAACGCCTGAGAACGAGACTAGGTCACAAAAGTCAGTGATGGTAGGCTCAATTGGTAGTGCATTTACTGCAGTTCAACCAGTAGACAAAGATGTCAAAACAACAGATGTTGATACTGATAATTCTATGAAACAGAAATCATCTCTAGGTGATCTAGTGAGGGCAACATCTGGTGTATTTGAAGATCTTTTATGGGTGATGAAGAAGAAAGAAATGGAATGGACAAATAAAAAGGAAGAAATATCCAATGAAAGGTAATACTCTTGAGCAATAATTATTTCCCACACTAATAATTCAAATCTTATTTTTTTGTACCTGGTTCTGAACCCCCGGACCGTGGTCTGTTCTCATACCACCAGTTAATATATTTGGACTATGAAATATAAGAACATTTATAATAATTGATTAAAATGTTATGTAAATTGTCAGGTTTCTTGCAACGTATTTCTTCCAAAAATGGCTATGTGTAAAGTATAAAATTGCCAGTTCCAGGTCGTTTTCTTAAAATTTTCTCACTTCAGCCCCAATCATGGAGGGAATGAGGTGCATCCCCAACTATGGTACCTGTGAAACAGCAACATTTTGAGCCGTTTAAAAATGGACCTCAGTGAGAAAAAGGTTGAGAACCAGCGTTATAGATCATTATGTTATAATATTCTAATTATGCTTCTGGTAGGCAAATAATGGAGAAGAAACTTAAGAAGACCATTGATTCTTATGAACATGAACACCAGCAGTTAAAAGAGAGGCTTCTAGAGTCTGAGTGCCACAATCGACGTCTTCACCAGAACCTCCAATCCAAGTTCTCAGAGTTAGCCAATCAGGAAAAGATTATTCAATACAGACAACAGGAGATAGATGCAATGGCAACCAAATTGGACAGATTATCTGACTTGCAGATTGAAAATAAAGTGAGATTTAAGATAATCCAAATGCTTTACTGTACTTTTAAATATAAAACCTGGTGTATAACTATAAGGAGTAGGTTGACTTTCAATATGGTCATAACAATGCAATGATGTAGTGCCACCAGATAGGCCAGCTGAACCTGGATGCAAGTCACAGTAATATCTATCAGGGAGGAAATTAAACAGTGGGGCTGAGGTGGGTGTGCATTTTGGGCCATGTGTCGGTGTACAAATGACCACCTCTCGTGGAAAAGCTGGTGCCACCCCTACCCCTGAGGGAGTATCGTATACTCAATTCAATAGAGGGATTCGGCGATTGTTTACAGTCGGTCACATGACTTAACTTGGGTATATATGAAAAACATTACAGTGTGATAGTATAGGAAAATGTAATGTTATGGTTGCGAAAACAAACACCACCTGTTAAGGTGAGAAATAAATGGCTAAGAAAGGCAATACGATTGTTCAAAATACTGTTTATTTACTTATCCTAGTGTTCTCCAAGGAGTGTATGCTTTGAACTTTAAGTGATCCTTCATAAAACTTTAGCTAGCCCTAACATCGCAGCTCGCAGCGTAGTTCGCCGGTCGAAGACCATCATGCATAACTAACTATGCCGTAGATGTGCAGGGGCCTAGGCCTAACATTTGTTGAAATATCTCTACGGTTGCTGCCAGTATCCTTTATTACAGCATTAGCAAACCATTAAGGTAAAATTTTCGAGTTTAATTTCCAATCAGTTTGGTATAGTTTACTTGGAATTATGATGGTCTTTACAGCAATAAACAAGGGACGGACACAATAGTAATCTACATGTAAAACACCTCTGTTCCAGTTGATAGTTTATATCCAGCACCCAAGTTAGGTCATGTGACGCCCATTGCCGAATCCCTCTATTAACCATAGCATCTAAAAGAAGAAATACATAAATATGTTGGTACTCTTCATTATTTGGCATTCTTAAAATATAAACATAGAATCAATATATTTGCATGTGTACCAGTGCCAATTATTTTACAAACTTCTTTAAATTTAAATTGGTGTAAATGACATATTACTATATAATAAGAATCTAACTTATTTAACTTGTAATTAAATTAACCACAGCATCTGAAAGAAGAAATAGATAAACTTCAGAATCTACTAAAAGGCTCAAATATGCAGCGAGAGCTGCTGCAGAAAGAGATGGCTCTTATCATGCAACGACTCGATGGCTCACCAAATACAGGAGGTCAAAGTGGACTAGATGTCGCAAAGGTCATGCAAGAAAATATATCACTCAAGCAAGAGGTAACTTTTAGTAGGTTATGAAAATATATGAGAATAACCCATAACTTGGCAGCATCGGCTGAATTGATTTTTGACTGCGGTAGCAGCTGTAGAGAGTGATAAGTTGTTTCATGTTCACATCATTTCACACCCACACCAACAGGGCTGAATGAACCAGCAGAGCATTTTTTTTAATCCATTTGTATAGAGGGTGACTCTTCCAGTGTATCCTAGAAGGTTGAATGATATTAGGGGCCCGCTTAAATCGATGAAAAATGTAATGGTTTTATCAGAGAAGTCTCATTACAAGGCTTAGGGAGTGGAGATTTGTTTTTAGTCATGAAAAATAATCCTGTGGTGTCACAGAATTTGAACCCAAGAAGGCAAGCATTTTAACCACCAAGCTCTATTCTCTACTCTTCCGAAAGATGCAATGTCATCCTTAAAGTGCACAAAAGCCAGCCATGTGCATCATGTAACATTGTTTAAAATGAGGATGATAATATTGAAGGTATTTGTTGTCTGTGGAGTATCTAGAAGTCTTGAAATGGAGGTGCTGATGGGGGAGGGGGGGTGGGTGCGTGCGAAGTTGAAGTGGGGGAGCTTGATGATCAGTCAAGGGGTGCTAACTTGAAATATAAGGTGATTTTTAACTGTACTTGCAAGTGAATTTTTTGGGGGCGACTGGGGGGGGGCGCAAGTAATTTTTGAAAGTGCGTGTGCGATTCCCCCCCCTCCCCCTCGATACGCTGCTGTTTGTTGTTGAGTAAGAATGGAGAGAAAATTAGAGGTAGTTTACCAATGTTTTTCTCCATCAGTTTTTTCTAAGTAATTTGCTTAACTTTGTTTATTTGCTTCTTCCTGCAGATGGAAAAATTAAAACTTCATATGATGAAAAAGAATGATTATTATGAGAACCTTAATAGCAGAGCTACACGCCAGGTAAGCATTTAATACACATTCAAAACCACATGCACTTCGGCAGGTCATTTAAAAAGTGCTATATAATGACCTTTATTGTTGTTATATCATATAAACCAATGACCCGTATGTGGCTAATTCTTTAAACTATGGGACCCTTGCACTTTTGATGTTATCTCTTTAAATATCAGTCCCTGTCTTTTGCTAGGTATTAAATGTGTATATAATTAAAACAATTAAAATGTGATGTACTGATGAGTGTTAATTTGAACTTTTTCTATTGCTATTAAATGGCTCAACTCCATAAAAGAAAGAAATATAATACAAAATTACACCTATAATATAATAGTTATTTCATCGGCTTCATATGTATTTAGGATGAGTGCATTATGTTCTCTTCTACTTGTATAATTTATAATTATTGTTTTTTAGATGAATACACTGAAAGAAAATTGGAAGAAGGCAGAAGAGGAAATTGTGCAACTTGATTCAGTTCTAGACCTCTGTAAAAAGGTGAGCATTTATGATTTTAATATTTTGAGGATTAACATTAATCCATGGGATTAACATTAATCCATGGGATTTAGGATACGACTTCTTTCACAAGTGGATGTGTGCAGATATTTTATCAGCTAATTAAATGCAGCAATAGCTTCTGCCTCTGCCCTAGTGCATTGGGTCTACTACCATCAGGTGTAGACAAAATATTTTTGTGCCGCCGACCATGAAAATTATCTTGATCAAATGCCTCCAGCAACAAATGTTATCTTTAAATATCAAATTTAATTTACCAGTTTGCATTAAATTGTGATGTGTAACAAGAAAAAAAATGCCTTCAGGGTAATGGTCAATGCCGGCCACACGGTCGCGCACTTTTCCCAGCCCTGACTACCATTAAACTGCTAAAAATAAACCGCACCTTCCTCATTAACACCACACTACTATAGGTCTTGTTTCCTTTTCAAATATGTATTTATGTATTAATAGCTTATACATTTAAAAGCTGTATTTTGTTAACAAAGTAAAAGTAAATACTTGCCGAGCCACTGAGCTCATAGGGCTGGAGCTTATCCCCAGTTACGGTAGCATGATATGGATGAGAGTGTGGTACTCCACCTGGGTGGGACACTAGTACACTGCAGGTTACTCCCAGCAATTTGCTGGTACCGATTGATAGAGCTGGGCATACTGAAGCAATGTAGATAAAGTGACTTGCTCAAGAAATGCAAGCAAAATGCAAAGCAAAGGATTGAAACCCTGACCCTGAGAAACCAAACCATTTCCACTGTGCCAAATTGTTATGTATTTTTATTGAATAATGAAAGGAATTGTTGTTTTACTCTTTCATTTATTTGCAGCATGTCAATAATATCCCTGCCTCAATGCCGGATCACCATTCCATTCAAGGATTACAAGAGCTGTTTAAGGACTAAAGAATAATATCTCTGTCTGCACACCAGGTTTGAAAATGCCAGTGATTCCTGTATTACCATTCCTTCCCATACATATGATTATAGATAACATCTGTCTGATGATGCAAAGTCTTGCTTCATTTTGTGCACTGTATTTCTGCATCAATTTCTGGCACCATTCCTTCCAAAATTACAGGACCTGGTGGATGATGCTAAGTAATCTCAGGATTCCACTAAAGTATAGGATGCTAGTGATTCCTGGTTCATTCTTGGCACTAATCCTACTGGAGTTTATAGATAAGAACTGGCGGATGATAGCTTCATTTTTTGAACATTGCTACATCCCAGGTCTACAATGTCTATAAGGCTATGTTCACACACTGCAGGTAACGGTTAGCAGGATTTAGATCCTGCTAACCGTTAGCAACCATGCGTTCATACAAGACAATCCCCGATCCAGATGCCAAAAAAGATGACAGGGGCGGATCCAGAAATGTCCAAAAGGGGGGCCGAAAGTTGGGCCGATTGAGACAACACTATCGTAGGGGGTCCGAGGCATGCCCCCGCGAAATTTCTGTGTTCTAGACGCCCGAACATAACATTTTAGGCATTCTGGGCTATCATTTTTTTCTTTTTCTCTCTTTTTTTTCTTTTCTTTTTCTTTTTTTTTACCTCCCAAAATTGGGGACCAGGGCCGGGCCGGTCCGGTCCCCCACAAATCCGTCCCTGGATAATGATCGAATCACTGGCCAATAGGAAATTGGAAATGCGTATGTTTGATTAGTTGATGATAGAAGCGCGCTCAACTTGCTAACCTGGTAATGGTTAGCGCTAACCGATCGGGCATTCAGACACGGGTGCTAATGGTTAGCTCCCGATCCGGATGCTAGGGCTATCGTGTGAAGCTGACCTAAGAATGTTAGTGATTCCTTCATTAATATGTGGAACCATTCCTTTCCCAGGATTCTAGAGGTTTATAGATAAGGTCTGCTGGATGATGCTAAAGCTGGGCACTCACTCCGGTCGTCGGCTGACGCGATTCCACAGAGAACACCACCACGCGCGCAATGTATCTTTTTTAATGGCGATCCGTTCAGGCTGTCTACGACAATGAGCAGACGGGGTCGCTTCATCTAGCACTCACAGGGGGCGGAGTTTAATTTGTCATACGACAGTCTGGTTTTAAGTCCTGCCTTGTAGTCTGTGCATGTCCCTTTCTCTGAATTACAAAGACTAAAGATGCTGGTTAGATTCCTGTGCATCACTCCTTCATTTTGGATTACAGGAATGATAACAATTATTGTTTGTGTATACCATTAATTTCAATGTACTGTTGATTATAATGTAATTTCTAATTAAAGTTCAAACTATAAAGTCAATTTATGGCTTAATGAACACCACTGTATATGCATGTGTTTACCAGAGTAGTGTAGATTATGTTACTGTACTACTGTATTAGTGTTGCTGTACATATAATTTATGTATTCGAGTACTGTATTACTAAAAATCTTTCCCTGGGGGTGAGCATAATGTATGTTTGTTAACATGGATCCAGTGAGCATGTGGTTCATGTTGTAATCAATTTCTTATTTTCCTTTGGTTGAGAGATGCAACATTTAGCAAACTAAAATGACTGTTGTCATTGTTGTTGTTTTGTCTTGAATTTGTAATAAAGACACTTCAAGTACAGTAGTACATAAAAATTGTATGTGTGTGTTTTCTTTAAGTTGAAAGAGCCTGAAATAGTCTTGGAAAATGAGTAGGACAGAAGAGTAAGACAAAAAGGAAAGAGTCTCACAATAGAAAATAACCTAGTGCCAGAATTCAAGAGGGCCTTTTTCTGCTAGAATTGGAAAGAGGCTTGTGCAAGAAAATTATGAAAATGTGTATTACAAAAAAAAAAAAATAACTTGCTTAAATGATGAAATTAAAATGGTAAAACTTGAAACCCCTTAGAAGTTAAGAAAAATTGACTTTAGCACTAACGCGGTTATAAGTCCACTCTCGGGTATAGGCCCACTCCTGACTAAGTCATTTTCATGAAAAATGAGGCCACTTGAGTATAATCCCACCCACTAATTTGAATCCAGTAACAAATGATTTTGTAACGAAATACATCGTAAGTCAGACGCATTGACGTAATACAGCCGACCAAGTAACAGCCTTTTCTCCATAGAGTAGAATAGTAGCTGTTTTTCTCAGATCTTCGCAGTGAGCGTACGTCTGGTCTTTGCTGGCCATACTGACTTGCGGCGGAGAGCAGATGGCGTGTCTTCTGATGCAATTATAACCCGCGATTGCAACACGCACAACGGCGGGGGAAGAGAGGCCGGGGCACTTTTTCTACTGGGGGTATTCTTCCCCCCCCCCTCACCTTTGCGATTGTTCCCAGCACCAGTGACAAACATTTTACAAACGCTGCAATGTCGTCGTTATTGTTATTATTATTATTATTAATAATATTATATTGTTATTATTATTATTATTATTATTATTAATAATAATATATTGTTATTATTATTATTATTAATAATAATATATTGTTATTATTATTATTTGGTGCTTAGAGACCTTGTTTATTTGCCCCGGGCCTTATAAATTGACATTATTATTACATTATTTTTGAGTTGAGTAACCAGATGTTGTCTGACGTCTGCAAAGTTTCCTTGAAACCCACCCTCGAGCATGAAGAAAAAAGAATGGAATCGCCCACCTTCGTGAATTCTTAGGCATAGGGTGGAGGTAGCCACGCTTTTGACTGGTTCACGTCGAACTTATATCTAGATAATGATGTATATCTAGATATATAAATTCGACGTGAATTGATTTTCCCCTTTTCGAAAGGATCATGGATGTACAGTATTACTGTATAGTGAACATGGATTGAATCTGGAATGCAATGTGATTTTCACTAAAAAGTCAAGTGCGCCCCCTATATAGTACTGCACAGCAATTTGACAGCAATATCTATCTGCAGATCTGTCATACACGAACACCTCGTCAAATCAAATATGTACAGTATACCAAAGAGTATAGTACAGGTATATGTACTTAGCCAGAGTTGATTGATTAATGTTTATGTTAATACGGATACCAGAAAAGCCCAGTCCCTGGTAAACTAATTATATTTGCTTTTAAAAGGGATCAGCTACTTAAACTTTCAATCACTCTAGGCAGATGCTTGCAGGAAACAATAGAGGAAGTCAAGAGAATCTCTTATCGGATTACAATAGAGACCCAGGAGTCCCAAATGGCTATAACTCGTGTTTACCCAACACTTGGCAGTTCAACACCCGTTGTTGGGATAGCGCTGGGCCAGATAAAATCGAAAATAAAACTATATTTCAGAGAGGAAGCAAATGGTGGGTAAGAACTTGGAGTAGCAGTACCATGGCTAAGATATTGAAAGAAATCTATGCATTCCGACAAACAATTATCATCATCGTTCTACCTTTGATTGCGTCCATCTTACCAATAGTTTACCGAGATGGGGTAAGTACCTATTAGCCATAGTTAGGATAGGGAAATCGTACTTGATAGTTTGAAATTATCAGTACAGCAAACTGATCTCTACTATTAAGGCCAAAAACAAATTGTTTGACCTCCAACACCTGCTTCTACTCGCTGAAAATAATAATAGGTGCAGAAAAACAAAAAACTTTTAAAAAGGTTTTTTTTAGATTTTTTCTTAACAAATAAGAAAAAAATTGTGAGTGAAATCTTTATTTTTTGCCAGATGCCCTACAAATTGCTCATTGGCTGCTGGTTATAGTCCCTATATAGAAATTTTCAGCAGTGAAGAATTAGTTTCAATTCCTCCATGGTTTAAGTGAAGCTTTCGACGCCATGTTTTGTAAAGGGGGGGGGGGGGGGCCGGGTGGCCCCCCCCCCCTCTAGGTGAAGTACCAGTTTAGACAAGTTTCTTTTTGGCATTTGTTTAAATTATTGTTACATAACGCTACTTGAAATATTTTTTAATAACAAAATTTAACGCAAGGATTTTTAGTTCCTTTGTGACCTTAGGTCACAGAGGAACTATTGGGATGATACAGATGTGAAATGTGTGTGTGTATGTATGGCAACAACCTGTCTGTAAACAAATAGGCTCCTAAACGGGGGTGACAAAAAAAGCACTCGCCCTCCCACCTTTTCCGGCAGCAGCCAAAAAAATCACAAACCAAAATTTGAAACAATAAAAAATCTGTGCAAACCCTAACTTTACAGCTAACGATTTTATGTTATATAATAATTTTATATTAAATTTATTTCTCATTTTGGTGTTTAAAGTGTTTTTAGAAGAACTATGTAATGATCGTGTTTAACTTGGAAATGATGAAACAATAACCATTGTTTCTCGTTTGTGTCTTCTGACACTAACCTAATCACCCCTTAGTGAATGTTATAGCTGGGTTGTTTGCCAATTTTTCTACCCTCCAAGCTCTCCCTTAAGCCTCCCACCTAGGTCAATATCATCCAAGAGTTCTACAAGTTCTATGAGTTACAAGCTCCTAAAACTTGTGATCTAATTCACTTGGGAAAGGATCTATACGAGCTTACTACATGTTAGCTACAATTAGTGAGTACAACCTTACAGGTTATGAGTTATGTACGAATTATGCCGAAAAAAGCACCAAGTTTACTACTGTATAAGCTTACAAGATTAGTGCAACAAGTTTGTACCAAATTCGATACGATTAGGTACAAGCCAACAGGCAGGCTGGGACGACCCTTGAATCCGCCACTGCAGTAGATGCTTATAAATGAGAACATAAGCGTGATAATATAACAGAAATGCTACATGAATGATCTGTGAATGATCTACTTGATTGTTTGCAAGCCTTTCCATGCAGTTCCTTACAAAGCGCTTTTATCGCTGGTCGTTGGGTCAACAAGCTAGCATTTTTACCAATCGACACAGGTTTTTCTTTATTCAAACTTTATTTATAGAGAGTGACCCTTTCAACTGTACCATTTATTCGTTGGAAAGCTACAGGGTAGCCTACAATGTTCCATCTTGTCCTTAATTAAACACTGTATATGTACCTTTGATGATTTATATTATACTTATTCAACAGTGTTAACGGCTAACTCCCTTCAAATCTAGATGTGTATAAGAGACAGGTATAGTACAGGTATATGTACTTAGCCAGAGTTGATTGATTATGCATGCATATATATGTGTGTGTGCGTGCGTGCATGCATGCATGCATGATGTATGTACTGTATGTATATTACAGTAGTATAAAATCAATAAATAATAAATTAAAAAATAAGGAAACCTTAGTACCCCCTTAGTACCCATTTATACTTCTGGGAGGAGAAAGGCAATGCAGTATTATAGTATTACTCTACCCTTTAATTAGCAAAGTTATAAATATTTAAATCATCAGTTAGGTAGGTTTGAGGAACAGCTTCCACAGATTCTGAAATCATTAGTTTATTATGAAGAGCTTAATTTTAATATAATTTTTCAATTAAATTTAATGATTAATGTTTAGCAGAAATATTTTTCAGTATCTCTTCCAGAAACTGTAAATTGTTCACCATGCCAATTCTTGGACATTTTGGGTTTTGTTGCGTGAAAAATAAGAATTCCGTCAAATGTAGGGTTTTTGCTAGAGCAGATCACAAATCAGTTAATTAACTTATCAAAAATGTTTTTTCCTTCGCAGCCTGGGTTTTAATGCCAGACTGGACTGTATTTGAAGTTTTGTCTGATTTATTTCATTTTTTCTGTAGCCTTCAAAGGGAGGATTTGTGGTGATAGTAATGGCTGGGTACTGGATGACAGAGTCCCTGCCATTAGCTGTCACTGCCATCCTACCTGTCATCTTGTTTCCGATGCTGGGGGTCCAGGAATCGGACGACGTCTGTCGTAACTACCTCAAAGATACCAACTTTCTGTTCGTTGGTGGTCTCATTATGGCAATCGCTATAGAAACCTGGAATCTACATCGTCGTATTGCTCTACGAATCCTACTGCTGGTTGGATCAGAACCGAGATGGTACGTACTGTAGGCTTATTGTTGTATATTGCAAGTTTTCACTAATTATCTGGAGATAACTTACGCAAGAGAGAATGTGTTCATTTACTGCAGATAGATTAGTTAGCAAAGAGTTTGATATAGTAATAAAATACAGTATATATCAGGGTCACAAATCTGGAGACACCCTTGTACACTCAAATAAACAAGCAAAAATCTTCCAAGGTTAAGTAACAATATCAACTGAATGAACTGAGGAATATACCTAAGAAAGTAAATTTATATTTCATTGGGGTCCTCAAAACAGAAAGAAAAACATTGAAAACTGCACTAACCCTAACCACTAAAAATAGCAAATCTCACCAATTCAATTAAATGACATTAAAATTACAATTTACGCAAAAAAAAGAAAAAAAAAACATTAAAAAGATGATTAAAATTCAACTAATGTAGCACATCAAAGAGATATTAAGGAATCACAGTAAATTTTACAATTTAGAAAAATTATTAAAATTTCAGGTTATAAAAATTCAAGAATAAAAGTTAATTTTAACATTAAAATCAAATAATTAAAAAGAATTACAATTACAGACAATTTATATAAAATTATAGTTAAAATTCATTAAATTTGCAATTATCAAAAACACTTGATCATTCTATAATTCAATAATTACAAATGTTAGGTATTATAAAAAATCAAATAATTTAAACAATGTTAGGATTGCAGTTCTTTTATTTACAATGTTAAAATACTTTGTTATTAATTTTTTTAAAGCAAAAAACACTAGACAATATTATTGTTGAAGTTTATTAAATTTACAATATCAAAAATACTTTTATTTAATTTTAATTTAAAAATATTTTGTTGAATTTTGTTTTTAATTGAATTTTAAAAAAATAAATAAATAAAATATATTAGCAATAATTATTATAATTGTACAATTCCAGAATAAAAAAATATTACTATAAATGTTTATTTTATAAAACAAATTGTTATCATTACCATTATCATCGTTATCATTATCATCATTATGGTAATTATCAAGACATTTGTATTTGTAATATTTTTGTTCTCTCAGGTTGATGCTTGGTTTTATGATCTGTACTGGCTTTCTGTCCATGTGGATCAGTAACACTGCTACTACTGCTATGATGATACCTATAGCCCAGGCAGTGCTTAATGAAATCCTAAAGCAAAGGGCCTTGGTATGTCAGTCTTCACTTTGCACTCAACTTCATAAAATATTTTTGTTCATTTTTTTTTCTTACTTTGTTGATGATTGCATAGCCCAGATTAAGCTTCAATAAATAATAGGGAAACTGTATTTTTTTATTTATTTTTTTTTTATCATACATGTTAGTGGAAAGAGTATTTTCAAGAATTTAACACTGCCCTATTAATGCTACTGTTATTAGGAAAATCCTTATGTTGAGAAACATGATGTTAAATATTTAATAAATAATCCTGTGGCAATCCCCCAGATTTATACCTATTGGTTTCTTTCTGCCCATGTCCTGTGTGACTGTCCTGTATTGATAAAATTAAACCTGGCCCAGGTTTGTTTGTCCACATGTTTTATCTCATGTATGAAAACAATAATTATAACAACATTGAGTCAGTCCAAATATTTACATACATTGAAGATCAGTAAATGTTAGATCACATTATACCATGAACTTTGTGATGGAAAATAACTTCTCTTTGAAAAATACTGTCAGTGAAACTTCACAAAAAAAAACCCTTCAAAAGATCTTTCAAAGGTCACACCTATAGGTATGCGCACATGAAACTACAAGATAAATTGTTTTATGTGCCATTTAGTTTTATTTTCCTTGATGTCACTTACTTTACTGCAGGCTAGGAAGAAGACCTTCACAAATGAAAGTTTTGAGATATGTGAAGATACTGAATACATAAAAAGTGAAAATCACTCACAGAAGATAAGTATACCCACTGAGATGGACAATACCAAAGAGGAATTGGCTGATGTTGTAACAACTAGCGTTGATGACATTAGGTTTGAAAATTTAAATCCTTTTTAACGTCTTTTTAAAAAAAAATAATTTGTCATAGTTTTAGAATGTACACTTTCCATTCACCTGTTTTTCAAAATGAAAGGCCTTTTCCTGCTTATAGAATGTAAGTTGGAGTTAAAGAGGGACTTGGTCTTCATAGCAACAGGGTTTTGAATATTTACAAAACAGTAGAGGCATTCTGGTTGCCTGCTATGCCTTAAGGCAAACTCAGAAAGCATCGTACGACGGAGCCTGACATGATTTATCATCGCGGAGTCTTAAACCGTCGTGATAAGTATTAAACATGTTTAATATTATACGACGCGACTGCCCCTGACACAAACGATCGCATCTACGTTTAACTTACACAGACCCAAAACGTCAGCAAATCATGTTGGGCTGTGTCATACCACGCTGTTTGAGTTGGCCTTTTGGAAACCTAGTGCCATAAGGTCAATAAATATTTGTGGAAAATACTTTGCTTGTTTTTATTATCATTTCAAACAATCAGCCATCGCCGTTTTGACCTTTGTGTTCATTTTCCTTAAGTTATTTAATTTGTTGTCCGTGTTGAACATGAACATCTCATTTTTAGAGTATCTTATGCCCTATATTCCATCTGTACACTCCATTCTACTTATAAACAATGTATTTGCAATTATGTATTTTTTATAATTTGATTTGACAATGACAGATTAACAAAAAAAATTGTGTTCAACCAAGGTGGTATAAAAATAAAGGTCTTTATTTTCTTGGTTCAGTTATAGTAAATAAGAATGTAATTCACTCAGGGGATAAGAGCAAGGATTGCAATGTACAGTACGACTCATGACACAGGTTGCAATAAAACATTTTACCTTTGTTTTATAAAAATTATTATGTTGATGTGTATTTTTTGCAACAGTTTGACTGCAGATGGTGTAGAAGCTGGAAATAATGAAGAGGAACAGTCTGATGAAGTGAAGGTTGATTTTACTGACCTTTGCCCTGAAGACAAGGCCTTAAGCAAAGCCTTGCTTCTCTGTATACCGTATGCGGCCAATGTAGGTGGCACTGCGACCATTACAGGAACAGGGCCTAACCTTGTTGGTCAGTCTGTCATTGATGAGTAAGTATAGCTCATGTTTTGATACACTTCAACCCTTAAATTCAAGATACAATACAATATAAATAACGTTTATTTGAAATCTAAATCAAATACAAGAAATACAAATTGAAGTTTAACCAAACATTAAAAAAATCGTTTTCTTCAATGAAACAGATAAAATACATAATTAAAACTTGAAATAGTTAGAGTAAAATTTCAGTTAAAACAATTGTGGCAGTCTAAACTGATTGTCATTAAAACGGTCCATAGCACGCCATGGCATTGCATTCTCTGTAGGATATGGATCTATCATTTTCATTGTTTGCTCCTTTGAACATATAGTTTTATAACCTTTATAGATCTGTCAACAGAAATTTGACCAAAACAGAAGCGTTGACCAAATATCATATTTATATTTTAGTCTGTATGGCAATGATGCTAACGTAACCTTTGCCACATGGTTGGCGTACTGTCTGCCTGGAATGATAATTCTTCAAATCTTAGCCTGGTTGTGGTTACAATTCTTGTTCATTGGTTTCAGGTAAGTCTCTTTAGGCGAGACTTTTTAATACCATTTTTCACAAACTGATTTTTTTTATAGATTTTCAGAGGAGTGCGAAAAAAAAAAAATAAATAAAATTTTGTTTTCTCATTTAGCAAATGGTTGTGCCAAAAACATCCAGACAGAGGAGAAAATAAAAATAGAATTTTATTGGTGAATGTAAACAGTGTAGTAATGGGATGGTTATATATGCTTTAAATTTATATAATTAGAAAGAAATATACATTTCATATTTTTGGAGATTTCAGGGCAGCGACGGGCATAATAAAAATAAAGAAAAACTCTTCTTTTTTTTTTTGTGAAATATCAACTTTTTTGTGGTGGTGGTGTGCTAATTGGCTAAATTAAATTTTATTTTTATTTGAAACCATCATTATTGGCGGTGGCAGGTTCGCTAATCAATGTATAAAAAACACTTTCTCCTCAGTTGACAGTGTACATAACTATTCTACCAGATCCAGTTCTGCAGGAAATTTAATTTTGCCTAAAGTCAGAACTGAATCTGGTAGAAGAAGTTTTACTTTTAGGGGTTCTCGTATTTGGAATGCGGGGGGGGTAGGTAATTTTTTACTTAATTTGTGTTTGTTTCTTTTTGGATGTTCTGTGATGTTTTTCTTGAGATTTTAATGTTTTATGTGTACTGGGCTCTCTGGCAGAACAGTAACTTCTTACTGAAGAGGTAACCCAGTATAAAGAATAAATAAATAAAAATTCTTGCCTTATGAACTTGCTTCTTTAATATTTGAGTGATATAAATAGTAAATATATAGCTAAACTAACTTATGTGATCTTTTGTTTTTTTCAGAGGTTGTGGAAAGGAGTGTGGTGAATGTTTTCGTTGTCGCTGTAATTCTGGAGAAGAGAGTAAGGCTGCTCAATTAGTTATCAAGAAACAGTACGATGAACTAGGACCTATTACGTATGTGTGTATACAGTACATTATGAATAATTTATATTTAGAAGGTGTTTCTTACGTGTTGGTCCTGGCACTGGTCTGTGGTAGCTGCTGTTTCCAGGGACCAGCCAAAAATTCCAATTCTAGTTTGGGACAAATATGAAGATATTATTTCTGTATTTATTTATTATTTATTTATTTGACACAAAATATAGTGTTGAAGAGAAAACCATGAGTCAAAGGCCCAAACTAAAAGTCTAATTTGTGAGTACAGTACAACTCATATACCGTAGTTCTTGTTTATTTATGTTCTTGTTTTTCAGTACGTAACTGCAAAAAAAAAAAAATGATTGTCCATTCACCTCATTTGTGGCATCTCAATCCACATACAAAATATTAGTATAATGAAGTGGTTCCAGTTTAGTATACACCATTTTCACTAAATTTGAAATGAAAATTTCCAAAAGCTTGGCAACTAGCACTGGGTGAGGCCTAGGCATTTCGCTCTACGCAGTTACAAGTGTTTATCTGCACTCTGTGACTTGTGCACGAGCTTGTTGTTGTAGAGGCCTACTCACATCTCAAAAACACTCAAAAAAAAATGCCAATAAAAAAAAAAAAAGAATATAGGCGTTGTTGAAGTACTCAAAAGAAGATATGTGTCTGGAAAAATGAAATTTTCTCAAGCTAGGCTGCTGGATGTCCCCTAGTAAAAAGTTGCGAGACATTGGTGGCTCTGTTTTAAAATAGACTCGATAAAATGGTGTATTCTAATTTATATAGTATTGTACAAAAGTGTATTTTACACTGGAGATGTGGGGGGTGCAAGTATACCCTTCCCTCTCCCTGTAAATGGTGGAAAATTAGTTCTGCTTAGTGGGTTAATAGAGATACCAAGGACAATAGACCAAATTAGTCACCAAATCAAAGCTGTTATAGTGGGTATAACATCAAAAACTGCTCGATGGTAGTTTTTTTACACAATAATAAGCCTTTACTCGAGTAAATTTCAACAATTTTTAAACTCCTCAAACTTATTTATTTTTACATTATTTTATCGAAAAGCCTTGGTAAATAATTAATAAATGTCAAACTTTTGACCCTTTAGATTTGAAATGGAGTGAAATAAACAGATAGAAAACTTTAAACATGTTTGCATAGCCTCGTTGTGTAAACACAGGCCTAGCCCTAGACTATAGAGTCATACAAACAAGGTTCTCCTGACTCATTGGCCATCGTGGTCAAAAGAAACATCTTATATTACAATTCAGCAATTTAGATTTGTCCAATAGTTTAAATATTTCATACATAAATTGCAACAGAATGACTTGGTATTTAAGCAGAATTTGTACCTCCAAATCAACAGCAATCACCTTAGTGCTGGATGTGAGGAAGAAACCTTCATATTTTTAGTCTGAATGGAAATTTAAATCAAATCAACCTTAGTCTCATGAATCTATGAATCATTCAAAATGTATACGTTTTTATGAAAAGTATCTTCTATGCCAACTTCATTACATTTTAGACGATTTAATATACACCACTTCTGACTTTGCTGAATGCATTAGCATAGCTCTTTGGCAAATGTTTACATATTCATACCCACTCGGTGAAATTGCGATGACATCATTTTTGGTGACATTGAGTTTTCATTGACATGGGGGTAATTATCAAGAAAAAGTATAGCGTAGTACTGTTGGAAGGTGGTGATTTTAATGTATTGCTAAAATTTTGTCTTTCATTATTTTTTAGAAGGTGACCCATTTTCACTTTCAACACACTGATAAATATATTAATAGGAAATTGTACAGTTTTCATCTGGCCTTGGTTTAGATTAAATATGCAAAGTTGTACTTGTCATAAAATTTAATGATTTTCTTTCTGTTGAATGTACATCACCAATAATAATACTACTTTTTACAATGTATTACAGTATTTTGTATAGTGTCAGTTCGGCTGAATAAATTTATGTATTATGCAGGTACTGTACTAATGAACATCTGATATACTCACTTCTCCATTAAATGCATATTATTTACATGAGCACAAGCTGGGGTTGCTTGATCTCCTCTACCCTGACATCATGTTCTATCACCATGCAAAGACAAAATTTGTATTCACTACAATAAACATTATGTTAAAACCTAATATCAAAATGTATTATTCAGAAATATGGCATTTTCATATATTTCCCCAAAAACATGATTTTAAAGAAATTCTCAGTAAGCATTAGTTTTCATGGAAAAGGTTGTATTAGAGGTAATATAAATGTATATCTTCTGAGCAATTTGACACCAAAATTATGAAAATAAATATATACCTAAGGATTGTAGAGATATGACCATTTCATATTTTTGCTCAAAAACATTATGTGTTCTAACAAACATATTAGAACACATATACCTGTAAATGTATATGTTCTAAGCATTTTGACACCAAATTTATTTCAATAGACAAAAGCATTACAGAGATATGGCATTTCAATAAAAACATACAAATTTAGGTCAAAGGTCACAGGTCAAATCAGATCTCCAGTAACGTGGTTTTGGTATCCCCACATATGACCTATCACCATGCGAAAGGGAAAATTTGTATCAAATACTGTAACCCACCCATTTTTGTACCTTTAGGGACTGGACTATTTAGATGCTTTCCTTTTAAAGTCAGGCTCTGGAGGGAAACTGACACAAAACGGGTATTTGACAAAAAATCTCGGGAAAAGTTAATGAGATACAGATTTTTGAATATTTAAAAACTGGGGAAAAGGGGCGTAACCACATTTTTATCAGAAAAATGTTTTCCTCTGGAGCCTGACTTTAGTCAAAGGGCCTAGGCTCAAATCTTGTGAAAAAACAGAATTACTCTCTTATAGAAAAACAACTTCACTTTCTAAGTTTCATGAAGATTATTTATTTATAGAGCATTCCATCCTGGAATTGTTGAATTATTGTGTATGAATAATATTTTGTTTGTAGGTACAGTATTGTAGTATCTTATACATTTACAGTATTGTTAATACATTATAATGTAATTTAATGTAATTTTGAAAAATTAAAGAATTCACAATTTAATAGATAATATTTACAATGATAATATTAAATATATTAGTGATTATTAACAATTTATTTTGATTAAAATGTTTAAATAATTAATATAAAAGCTGTACGTTGATATTGATTCAAATTTTGTGTATTATTCGTGTTTAGGTGGGCAGAGGGCGCAGTGTTTGGTCATTTTTTATTACTGGTACTACTGTGGCTATTCCGTGAGCCATCTTTTATACCAGGTTTTGGCGGATGGTCTGTTATCTTTCCTGAGCCAGAGTAAGTCATAAAATATGCAATGTTTCAAAATTTAATTAAATTTAAGGAGAGTTTTGAGTATTCAAACAGATGGATTGTCAGATTTAGCTTAGTTAATTAATAGTTGGAGTCAAGTCCATTAGCAAAGCATGGCCAAATGAAAAAAATCCAGGCTGTATACCACCAGCTTGGCATGATACTCTACCTTTAAACTGTTTTAGCAACTGAAAGTAATTGGAGAATCCTGACACGAATTTTTTTTTTACTGTAGTTTTTATATATCACTGATGATTATTTTCCTCCAGACCCAGTATAAATACAGTATTATGTAATTTACTACATATTAATATGGTAGCTATTATTATTATTATTATTATTTTACTACTTATTATTTTACTACTTATTATTTTACTACTTATTGATATGGTTGCTATTTATATTATTTATATGTTTATGTTATTCAGTTATTTGAATACACTTACTCACTGACATATTATCAGGCCTATGATTATTTAATTTTTTTCATCAGACTGTCTTTAGAGAACTAACAACTCATTATTTTTCTTCTTTTTTTTAACCAGGTACATAACGGATGCCACAGCAGCAATTTTTGTTTCATTCCTTCTCTATGTATTCCCTTCAGAAGTTCCCAATTTTCTTTGCTGTAGAAGGAAAGATGGTTAGTTTCATCATAAATATGTTAATTTTTACATGTTGCTATTTTAAAGTCAAATAACTGTTTATGATACAGTTATCGTGTGCCATATTTTTAGCAAATCATCTTAAAGTACTACATGGAATTTTTTTTTAAATAATTAATACTAGTTATATACACTACAGATAAATCAATTACCATATTTATTTTGGGAATGGTTGTTGAGGGATGTTTTAGTGTAATATGAATACCTACAGCTGTATTACTCAATTCGCTGTAAATGTGGAACTACAACATATAACTACCATCAAAATGTATTATTGTGTGATCATGAAGATACCAACAGGCTAAAAAAATGTGATTCTACTGGACTAGAACATTAATAGAATGTGTTGAACAGATTCCACACAGCGCTTGTCCCTATAGGCGCATATAGGTGTAGATGAGCAAGGGATGCTAGTGTATGCCCGATTCTATTGCCGCCTTGCTTGGTGAACTTGACAGGCAGAAAACCCTACCCTAGGCGTAGGCCTAGCTAGCCTGATTCCTGGACCTTACCAGCGTTGCTGTAATATGCAAAAAGCAGTCCAGATAATAAGTTTTTTTCCACTGTTGTCTTGTTTTTTAACAATCTCATAAAACTTGATTGTGGTGCATTTAAATTTGGATGCATTTCTTTGGCCACATTTGTCGCATCGAAGGGAGCTTTCTCTCGCCCAAAAAAATCATTGAGCATGCACTGTAAAAAATCGTAATCTTACAGGCCACTACGAGGCCGGTAAAATTACAAGTTGTTACGAGATATTACGAGATTTCACAAGGAAATTTACCAAGATTGTGGCATTCGTTTGCTAAAACTTTTAACAACTTATTATATGTGTACGTGTGAATTAGGTTTTAGTGTTTGATATACTTGTAATTTGATTTACAGATGACTCCCCAGTAGGACCGAGGAAAGCCCTCCTTGACTGGAAGATTACCCAGAAAAAGATGGCCTGGAATATTGTATTTCTCCTTGGTGGGGGGTTTGCATTAGCTGATGGATGTGAGGTACGTTGGCTTCAACCCATCTAATGATATGAAATAATATGATAGACTTATATACATTAATAGTGTTTCATGCCAACAAAGTCTCTAAATGCTTCACATCCCCTAGTCATTGGATCAAGCACATATGAAAGACATTAGGCTCCCTGGGGAGAATTCTATAATGTTGCAGCTGTAATCAGCAAATTTTGTGTTTGAACCTACCAGGTACCCATTTGTACTCTGGGTGGAGACAAACTTCGGTGGGTAAAGTGCCTTGCTTAAGGACACAACAAAATGCACAGCGAGGTTACAACCGCTGCGCCAAACCTCTCCTACAAATCTACAATTTCCCAGAGACACACAAACTTTAGAAAAAAGAAACATTTGTATCAAAAAATTAATAATCTTAACACATTGACTGCCAGACCTTTTTAAACGTTCCTTCCCGTGTGCCACAACAAGTTTACATGTACAAACATTCTTTTTTGAAATTTTATCTAGTCATATATCATCAAAATGATGTGTCTAATAACGGGGAAATATTAGGGAACAAATAAACTCATCGACGGCACTGTGATAGAACATTTTATTGAATGTGCCAAGTACAAGTTATCTCGACTGCTTTTTTCATGGGTTGGTATAAGTTCAAAGGGCACCCCCACTTGTGTCGCACGAGTGTACTACCGGCAGCATAACAAAACAAACATACATATGTCATTTGTATGTTATTGTCTAGGTGTATTTTACCCGAACTACCAGCCTTTGAGTCTGTGGTTCTGCAATGTATAACAAAGATGTTATGAACGCTAGAATGTTACCCCGATTTTGACTAGTATGCTCGTCCCTGCTGCCCTCAGCAACACCCTGTGGCTGAGTATACTCGTCGCTGGCAGCCAACGTGTTATACACACACGAAAAAAAAAAATTTTTGACAGAACCAGTTTTACTTCAACTACTGTACTCAAGACTTTCCAATTAAACAGCACTACATTTTACATTATTAGCTTAACACAGTGATGAGTATCTCTTAATTTGACATATTGGTAATTATTGATGTCGTTTCTTTAAATTTAGAAATCGGGGCTGAGTGCCTGGATGGGTGAAAAGTTTGAGAGCCTTGACAGCATACCTCCCTGGACACTGCTCCTTATCATCACTGTGATTATTGCTCTTTTCACCGAGTTCTCCAGCAATGTATCCACAGCTTCCATATTTGCACCTATCTTAGCTCAACTGGTGAGTTTCACTGTAAAAATCACTTGAAGGCAAAGTGCGGCCTGCGGCAGTAATATTTTTTGCAGCCCGCGAAAATTAATTACAAACCTATATGTGTAGCCAGCCAGAGATCTTTGGCTAGAAAAAACCTTGTTTTTTACAGCCCGGCACCGATCATGTGTAAAAAGTAATATTATATCTGAGTATAAAGCGGTAAAAAGCAGTGCATGAAGGTGTTTTGAAGTGTTTGGCCCCTCAACTAATTTGTATGCCCACCCCTGATATAAATAATCTTAAATGTAAACATGTTTTGGACAGTAAGTATTGGAAATACAAGACTAGACTTTGCCTATCTGAAACAACAAATGAAAATTACTTATGGATAGTTTAATATTGATAAAAAAAAAAAGCCTAGGTGGCCTATGCAATTATCAATGCCTAATATAATTCAAATTTTATTTTCAGATGAACATAAATATGATTATAATAAAAAAAAAAAAGTGGCAAACTGTCATCACTAGATTGTCAAAAGTGTAGAAAAAAAAAACTATCTTGCCAAGCAGAATCCACAACACAACATATGAGCAATACATCAAATATATTGGGTGGGATAATAAGAAAACATCTTTTTTTTCCACTTATAATGCCTTGCAGTTGAGAGTGGGCTAACAGGCAAAAATAAATTTCCTGAAAAGTGACAAGTTATGAAAATAATAATATTAATATATAGATGATTTTTTTTCAATTGAGTGAATTGTGTTTCATTTTCTCATCAGGCTGAAGCCTTGTGTATCAACCCATTGTACTTGGTGATCCCATCAATTCTTGCATGCTCGTTGGCCTTTATGCTTCCAGTGGCCACACCTCCTAACGCAATAGCGTTTTCATATGGCCAACTCAGTATTCCAGATATGGTGAGATTTCACTTTTATACACTGACTATAGGATGTAACACCTTAGGTCAGTATGCTAAGGAAGGTAGAAAAACCAAATGTCAATAATGAGTACTGTACTATTTTGTGCCTACATGTAAATCTACCAATTTAATTTATTCAGCATGAACCATGGAAATCCAAAGACTTATTTCAGTGGGGTACTTCTGGTGCTAATTAAGCAGAAAGAATCCCCTACTCTTTTCCACAGTGTACTGCATTTATTTTAACATGCGCATGGGCAATATTGCGCACAGGACCAAACAGCTTAAACATCTTTTCCGAAAGATGTTGCACTTTTTTATACTTGATTTTCAGCCCACCAGCTGAACTGCAGGGAGAGCAAGCAGCATATGAAATTGGACTGGGTAATAAACAATGAATCTTGAGTGTTAAGCATGCACACAGTGGTTACCTCCAGTCTAGCCAACTGAGCTAAGCTGCTCTCTTTCTCTTACGGTTAAATATAATACAAGTTGTGGTTGTGTTTTGTTTTGATACAGGCGAAGGCCGGTGCCATGATGAATATTATCGGTATCCTGGTGGTCAACTTGATGATGAACACTTACGGAATTGTCATATATGATGCTCGCCAGTTCCCAGAATGGGCAGCGGATGAAAACAGTACCTGTCTTGAAGGACCAACTTTCAGCCCGATAACGGCAGGTATGTACACTACGCCGTCCAATGGAACTTGTGTATGCTGATCAAGGCAGGTGTCATCATCCTGTCATCACACACCTGCTGGTGTAACAGGTGTCACCTTTTATACCAAAACAGTTGACTATGCAGTTACTGTTCAATGAGGTGCTGCAAGTACAAAGACAGTAAAAAAAAAAATTATTGGGGGAAATATGTTTTCTTGTATCTCAATTTTTATACTTCACAATTCTATGTACTTCTCTCCTTCAATGTGTATAAAAATAAAGTTTGAAGAGGACTTCTAGTCAAGTGAGGTTACTATTTTATATTGTCAAATTAATAAAATTTAAAGACAGTGAACACTGAGGCTGAAATGAATTATATTACTGAGTTTTTTTTGTGTAGACACTTTCTTATCATCTCAACTAGTGCTTCAAATATTGCATATATGTAGTATTTCTCTTATTGTCATAATAATAATAATAATAATGGGGTTTGGCAAAAAGGTTTCCATTCAGGTCTCAACCTCATGTTGGCTGCCCATACTTAGATACCCCNNNACAGCCAGAAATAGAACCAGAGCTTTCGGACAACACTAGTCCTTCCTCAGTGGCGAGTGAGAGAGGGTAGAAAAAGCTAGATGGTATAAAGTGAGAATTTCATGCAAGCATGATTGAAAACAATAGGCTGGGTGAGATTAGAATAAACAGCCTAAACAAGTAAACAGGAAAGCCAAAACTAAACTTTAGAGGCAAGCCTCAATAAATAAGCCTAATGTAGTGTTGTGTAGAATGAATTGAGTTGTATTTAAGATAGCACAGTACCCAATACAAGCTAAGCTTACCAGGACTTTGCATTGTTAGAAATTGTACAGTGTCGATGACCATGCACTGTAATGTATTGATGCAAATGAAATAAAATGAATAACATACAAATTTGAAGCAATTAATATGTCTTTGATTATTATCAGATAAATAGTAAGATGAATGATATACAGTAATGACTTTAAATTCATGTACTGTACAAATTAATTTTTATAAAGAAATTTTAACTAAATTCATATACAGTGTTATTTTATACAGTATATATATTGTATATATATATATATATATATATTAAATTTTTAATCAGGAAGATAAGAGAATAAAGTTATCTTAGATAAAAGATGAGTTTTGTGTGGATTCTGTTTTGTCTTTTAAAAATCAAAATCAATAGTATGATGTCAGTCAAATGAGAGTGGGATACATAAATGCTTTAAACTTATATGGTTGAGGAAGATTATTTTGGGTAATTTCAAAGCAGCAGTGGGATAGTAAAAAAATTATTTTTTATTAAATTTTAATTTTTTGTGGTAGTGGGTGCGCTAACTAGCCAAAAATCAAATTTTTGTAATCAAAAATCACCATTATCAGCAGGTGTAGGTTCGCTAAACAAGGAATACATTTAATTGCACATTAAAGATGTATTGTCCCATGCAAAATACCAAAAAAAATTATAAAAACCATATTTAAAAATTAACTTGCCCATTTTGAAGTAACATAAAAATCATCAAATTGAAGATACAAAGTAGTAGTATTTAAAAAATGTTTACCCATCATTTTACAGCGAAATATGATAGAAAGAAGTGTATTATTTTTATTATAATTATAAAGTTTTATTAAAAATCAGGGATTTTTTTGGTCATTTTCAAGGGACAATACATCTTTAATGCCGAAGGATTAATTTCACATTCTTATCACAGACACTGGATTAAACACGCATGGAATTTTTGTTGTTGTGATGACGTAAGTTACTTGCTGATGAGGAAGATATGTCTGAAACAAGGACTACTACGAAGTGTGAGCAGACATGTTGATTATCTAGAAATCTTAGCTGTGTTCACACACACCAGCTAACGGTTAGCAGGATCCAGATAAATAACATACACGCTCACCCTCGAATTCATACAAGAAAATTCCAGATCTATAGGACAGGCCGATAGGAAATTAGGAATGCGTATGTGTGATTAGTTAATTATAGAAATGCGCTCAACATGCTGATAGCGCTCACTAACACTTGTGTATTAATATTTATAAACCATTGGGAGTTGCCGTGCCATAAACATGAGCTGCCCTGGACAGCAACACATTTTTTGCAGGATCATGGGCTCTTGAGGGGTTCCTTAAATAAAACGTCTAAAAGAACCTTTAAAATAAATCCTTAAAATATTACAAATTCAGAAAAGGAATTATGATGGATCCTGTGGTAGTAAGACCCGAAGAAGCTTTTTTGTTGCATCACTTGCAGTAGATATTGTCAGACTACAATCGTTTGCATATGGATCATACTGGAAGTCTACAGGGATGATCTTCACATAAAAATTTTAATTGTGAGATGAATAACTGAGTCTGAATGATAACATCTTCACTAATGCCATGTATCAGGACTATCTTGCAAATAGTGTACACATGGGTTCATTTTATGATAACAATATTTTGAACAGGCGTCAGTGGACAAATGGGGAAGCAAACATATTCTATCAATGTACACATTAAAAGTGACTGGCTCAGGAAAATTATCAATACTGTATTTGTCTAAAGTGCATTAGGCATTCAGGTAAGCAGTAACTTACTAGGCCTAACAGTAATAACTTGATAAGGTTTGCAGATTATCAATTGGTTATGTAGTTAAAAGTCTTATTATTTTTTCAAGATACTGTACCGCAAATGTTGAACAATATGGAACCATACTATTTATTCTAACTATTTTTTAAGCCATTGGGTCCCATTAGGTCTGGACAGTGCCGTCGAGAGGATGGGGCTTCCGGGGCAAGTGCTCCATGTCCCAGGCCCCAGGGTGCTAGATGAAAAATAAAATAAATAAATAAAAATTATTAAACGTATATACATTCATCCAGTATTATGTGTTTTTTCAACGAGACTTGAAATAAACCTGATCGTTGAATCAATGAAAGCTCGTAATTAATTGCTTTTAATTCTTTTTCATTAATATTTCCATGACTTCTACTACTCTAGAATTTATGTTTACAATGTATCAAATAGTATATGCTTTGTGTCATTAATTAATAATTCTCAAAGACTTGGACCCTGTACACCATCAATATACATGAAAGTTAGATGTGATAGAGATTCGATTGTCAAATAAATACTGAATAAATATATTAAGACAGTAGCAGATTAAGGGGCCCCCCTAAATTTTTCAAAAATTTAACAGAAACTGAGAAAAAAGAAAATTCTACTCAAATTGTAAGTCCAAGAGTGTCATTTCCAGCCATATAGAGGTGCCATAGTCATTTTTTTTTTTATGCTATGAATCTTTTCAGCTCTACTTTTCAATAAAAGGAAGGATAGCTTTTACTTTTCATGTTTCCATACTTTATTTTTCATGACCTGATAAAATTAAGCACTCTATAATCGATTAAATTAGTCCTCTAATCCGTTAAAAGGTTGTAGCTTCCGGGGGACTCCTCGATCCACTGAGACCCTAGACGGCCCCTAGACCCCAGGCAATGGGCCCAGGCAACAAAATGCCCAGGGTCAGAGCTCAATGGCTTTAGCTAGTGAGAGCTCATATTTATGCCACTGCTTTTATAATTTGATGATATACGAAGATATAGAAACAAAATCATGAAGTGTACATTTAATATCAAAATAGAACAATTTAAACACTATTATTTCATTTTTCATTTTCGGAATTAAGTTTCTCTCTCAGTTCTTTTAGTTTTTCTAGTTTAATCCTAGTTTTCCTTTTCTTTTCACTCTGTTTCTTCTTGTTTAACATATTTTGTTGATTTATTTGACTGTTCTCGCCGTGCAGATGCTGATCAAGTTTTTCCTGTAGTAAACGTCTTGCGATTATCTGGTTCTCATGTTGCGATCGAGTCTGGTGGCACTACAAAATAAAGCAAAGTAAATGAAATGAAGCAAGATTGTCATTAGTTTATAGCTGTACAAGGTTAACTTCACACCTTGGTCAAATCGTACCACTGTCTGCACTTCGATTTAAATATGGAGTAGGTTTTACCAAATCTGTGAATAAACGATGGATACTATTAGGTTTTGTGCATATATGATCAATTGACCTTTTTTAACACTATTCTGATTGGTCAGCTGTTGAATTTGGTTGACACTCTGGAGAGGTCAATTTAATTGAAAATACATTCTGTGAGAAGTTTAGAAATGCATTGGTAGTAGCATGTGTTTAGGAAGATATTGCACTGTTTCCATTGGACTTCATTGCTTGGGGAAAACAGCCTGTTCATTGTTCCCGATCAATATTCACTCAGTTAAACTTACAAGTGACTTGTGTAATGTACAGGGGTCGCAAGTCTCCTGCTAATAGCGAGCCTCCTGGAAATTGTAACGGCTTCCCATGCTCCCGCAAACAAGTAAAGATCTTCTGGAAACTAAACAATTCTTGATGTGTTTACTACTGTATTATCTGTCTCCCAGAAGTCTGCTGGTGAAGGGTATCACTACAAGCATAAAATCACTAGATGTGTGTTTAATAACATATCGCCCGAAAGTGGCTTCCTTCAACTTGTGGTCTCCGAATTTGGCCAAGGAGAATGATGTTACCTAGGCTGTTCACACTGAATGTTTTTTGTATCAAAGAGACCAGGTACATGACCAAAAAAAAAAAAAAGAGCCCAATGTGAACAGGGCTTTAGTTTGCATACCTTAATTATAATCCCTGTCGGTTTATGCTTCAAAACAACGCAATTACTCGTCTTGTTTGTCGACTGTCCTCCTGGTCCACTTCCTCTGACAAACTGTTCCTCCAAATCATCTTCATTCAATTCAGGATATTTCATTTTTCTTCTTTGTTTAATTAGTTGCGAGTTGGTCGATTTAAAAGCAACAAATCCATAAGGAACCATGTTTAAAAGTGTTGGTAACCAACAGAGAATCTGCAATGTCTTTTGAGGGAGTCCTCCGTGTAAACTTACCACTGAAATTGATGTCTTGTTGCTTGTCATAGTTCTTGTAAAGCATGTAACACTGCCATTATCTTGCTTTCTTAAACATAAATTATTAACCAATATTCTTTTGAAAGATGGCACCATTTGAGACTGAACATAAATGTTTGGATTATTTTTCGCAAAGATTGTGCTCTTCTTCACCACACTGCACAAAAATGCACATTTTTGTTTGTACTGTATGATCATCATTGTGGACTTCTTGTTACCTGGGTTTGTCAAAAAAGAAAAACATTGTGTAAGCGAAAGTACTGTAATGCAATAACAGTCTATATTCTCTCTTACAACTGCCCCCCCGGACCCTTTGTGCTCCGACACCATGACGAGGTCGTTGGATCAAAAATAATGCCTATCCGAATAGTTATTTTTATTGCCAATCCCTAATATTGTACAGTATAAGCACAATTTGTGCCATTCTAACCCATAAAAATTCTCCCTGTGAACCCTATACTGTATATGGGATTGTAATTTCGGGACAGAGACAGAGGGCAGTTTTTTCGGCCCCTTGGTTCGGACCCCTTGTCGGTAAATTTCTGGAGCTACCACTGCTCACAGTTAAGAAACAATATAAGATGAGGGCGGCTACTAAAGTGTTGGAAACGACCCACAACAAGCCCTCAACGCCACTTCAGTAATTGAGTGGCTGCGTTACGGTGAGTTTCCTAATATTTACTATTTTTCCATTTTTACTATTTTAACCCACTTTAATTTGATTAATTTGCGTCCGCATCCGCCCCCAGCATACACCCGTGACAGGCCGTGACCTCTCCAGTATGCTAGTGCATAGGGGCCAGTAATCAAGGCCTAGCCACCCTGCACTACACACACCAGTGTCACACATGATGGGTGCTCTGACACGCGCCTGCCTGTTTCCCAGCTTAGCCTAGTTAGTAGGGCCTAGGGTAGGCCTAGAAAAGAAATGAAAAAAAGGAACTATAATAATATAGTACTGTATATCACCATACATACATTAAAATGAAAATTCGTTACTTTTAGTAGCATTCCTTATTTCATTCCACGAAACTAAAGCTAGGCCTAGGCCAATATCCTAAAGCCGCCCCTCTATATGTGACCTGCCTGGCCAAGTGCCACACTGATCAGGGTTGCCAGATAGTCGACAGGCTTCACGGCCAAACACACGCCATCTCACGGCCAAACTTTTTTTCGATATCGGCCAAAATTCGGCCAGATTTTAATCCGATTAGAAGACAACAGTGGGTACATTTATATTTCATCCGAACAATTTAAATTATTAAATGTAACTGTTACCTTTTAAATAAACTCTCTTACGTCAAATCGACTGAATCGGGAAACATATATTAAGTGTTTAGTGCAGGTAAAAACAAGTACAAGATTAGAATCAAATATAGAATTTAAGCTAACAAAAACAAAATATCCAAAACAAGTCTACGTTATATTAGGCCTATATTGAAAAAAATGTAATCTTTTCCAAAATTCGGCCAAATTCGGCCAAATATAGTTTGGCCGTGACTTTTCAAATGCTACGGCCAGGCAAATTTTTATACGGCCAGATTTGAGGAATCTGGCCGTCAAAAAGGCCAAATGGCAACCCTGACACTGATTGGTTTAACATGTGTTGTTTACTTCATGGTGAATCACATGACTTGCAGCATGAAAGTCAGGTGGTATGTAATCGGTGCGACGTATTGTTTTGTAGGAGGTGTGATTTTGGATACGGGTATTTCATCTATAAAGTCAGTTCTTCGTTAATTATTATTGAATACGGTATAATAATGAGGTATTTGCAGACACAGTGATACGTATAAATGACAGGGTATGTTTCTTGCATTTACTGTTTAAATATTTTCTGACGAAGCCAGCTAGGCAAGCCCTTCTTTGCCAGCTTGCTTGGCTAGGGTAGACCTAGGCCTATCTATGCTAATGCCTAGGTAGGCCTCAGAGTCCTACTGTAGCTAGGCCCAAATTTTACTAGGCTAGGCTAGATCTATGGTTGTGGGGCAGTGTAGGACCTGGCCTGGCTAAATTGTAATAAGTATTCGTATCTATAAGATTAGGGCCTACCCAAGCAAGGCTACCCTAATTAATGAAGTGTTCAGGATTCTAAAAAAACAAATATCCCATCACAGGCATAGATAGGCCTACTACATGGCCCAGACTGTAGAATAAGGCCTGTGTGGGGACTATATCCTCCGTGCAAAAATTTGACATAGAAATCTGTCCATGTATTTCGCAAAATAAGGACCGATTTCCGCAGATTTTGCCAACAATTAGCTTTGATATTGACCAAATCTTAATAACCAATGCAATTATGTAGCAATTACGACTCTGCGCAACTATTTTCCTAGCGATTTTCCGCACAAATTTGAGCTGATTATTTTAGATATCCTCCGCGCAATAGGCCTTTTCACGAATCGGTAGACATCTTGAAGTGATGACAAACATTGCGAATCAGCGGTGCGTAACCAAATAAGATAAGCTTTTGGGCTGATTTTCTGACGTCATGTTATTTAAAAATCATAACTTCATAACAGGCCATCGTATCCAAAAAAATTGTATTAAAATAGGCCTATGCATTACAGTGCAGTAGCATAGTACTTTCGTGTTGTTACTTTTCCAGGTATCGATAATATACAGATATTTCTCTTGTTATAAAGTACAAGTTATGCTTTATAAAGAAGTATAGTATAGTAAATCATGTTTTTAACACAGGAAACTCTCATATGGTAACTAAAACAATGCTAGTCCTAAGTATTACTAGTACTACTGCACTGTAATGCATAGACCTATTTTAATACACTACTTAGATAGGCTTTTCTTTTTCCATCATGATTTCAGAGGTCAAAAACATGTTTCAATTTTTTTTCAATCATATAGTGGTATAGACTAGTCTTTTAAGATCATTTTGCTGGAAAAATGTTGTGGATACGATGCCCCGTTATAGAGTTATGATTTTTTAAATAACATGATGTCAGAAAATCAGCCCAAAAGCTTATCTTATTTCTGTTGGTTACGCAATGTTTGTCATTACTTCAAGATGTCTACTGATTTGTGAAAAGGCTATTTTTTCACATGCTCTCCCGGTTTACAAAAAATTGCGTGGCGTACTAATTTATTAATTTGTATTGTCTTTTTTGTAATAAAATACTATGAAAAAACCTCAATATTGAGGTTATCTTTTAATATTTTGCTCTGCGACAGCATAGCCTCTTCGTGAGTGGTGCGAGAAATGTCGATACAGGCACCTCAAAGTCACGCTGACCTTGACACTTTATCATGATTACAATGTAATGTAATGTAATGTTAGTAAAGACTATAAGCATAAGAATCATGAGATTTACCCTTATGATCATAAATAGCTAAAGCTTCCAGGGGGTTACGTCCCCCGGAACCCCCTTCCCCATGTAATGGGAAACTCCCACACGAATCCATGAGGTGGTATCAAGTATACATGACCTGACAGGAAAACCATAAAATAGAATACTGAGGAGCACGAAATATACATATAAATATTGTCCAAGCATTTACATATTTCTATAAATAATTATGGTTTCAATTTATTTTCGTAACAGGATCAGCCGAGAACACACTTTTTTTGTGTATGACACATGCATCAACAAGAAGGAGGAGGATGATCCAAAGGATGCTATTGTTTATTTTCATCCTAACACTGTAAGTATTCCCAATTAATTCCCATCCTAGTAAATACAATACTCCCTATACCACTGGCCTACACTTTAAGAATAGGCAAGGGTTTTTTTATAGCCTGTTTGGCATTGCCTGCAGCTCATGATAATTTCAAACAAAAATAAAATTTTATTTTTTGGCTGTAACTGTCTTTTCACTCTGGTATACCATTAAATGCTATAGTGCCAGTACTTTTTCATATTTCTTAACTGTGACCTGATTTCAGTATTTTTAAAAAAAAACTGTAGATGAGAAACTGTTTTTTTTTTTTCATCTGCACAATCCATTATGGTCCATCTATGGCTGCTTCTATGAAGAGAGTGATTATATTCCTCATTTGCAGTCCTTTAGCCTATGTAATAATAAGTACACTATCTTAATGATACAAGAACTTAATTTAACCAATCAGAATATATTATTTATATGGCTAAACGATAATTTACATAATGGAAGATGACTAACATAAAATAATTTCTATTTTGTGTTAAAATCTGTGGATTATGAACTCTGTATCTCTTTCATATTCATCTCTGTATTATTTTTTTTGTATTTTAATTGGTTGTGGCTGAAGGCCAAGCATATGCCAAGAAGCAAATTAACACTTTTCTAAGTCATATCCCTTCACAAGACAAACATAAACACAAGATGCCCTAATAAACTCCCATTGTGAATTTAGGTAGGAGCATGTGGCGCAGCTTGTAAGGTGTTAAACTTCTGATCGTGAGATCGGGGGTCCAAGACTGACACCCGTTGCATTGCTTGTGTCCTTGGGCAAGGCACTTTACTTACGTTGGCCTCTCTCCACCCAGGAGTATAAATGGGTACCTGGTAGGATGATGTGGCATTGAATGTATGTGGTTGTGCGTGTAAGGCAGCATGACAAGGGATACTCCCCAGGGAACAGAGAAAGTTGCACAAAATGTGCTGGTTTTTGCCAACTACTGGAAGTATCCAGTGACCAGGGAAATACTGATGCCAGCATCTTTGTATATTTTCCGGAATGTGAAAGGCGCCATATAATTTCGGATTCTAAAAAAAAAACAGAAGGCATAGGACGTGGAGTTGTTCTGGTCATATGAGAAAAAAATATGTTACCGTGACAAGAATTAAACCCAGGGCCCTGGGATTGGAAGACAAGTATCTTAGCCACTAAGCTATTCAACCCCATTTCATTGATTTAAAGAAAATAATCTATTTTTTTGGTACAATTTCAGGTTTCTATTGACCTGCAATGTATGCTTTGCGGCCAGTTGGTTGGGGCCATTGGCTTCATTACCAACATCTCCACATCATCGCCAACGCTTGTTAGGATGAAACAGACAAAATTTGCTATCAGCTATGAGGGGGTTTATGTCATTGTAAGTAATATTCAATATAACACACCTAGTTTGCTTTGTGGTTACAAAGTGTTTGCAGATGCTGTGAGTAGACCTACTGGCACGTGAGAGTGCCAGCTGATGGCCCAGTTTGGCTCAGGCTCAGCCGTTGGAGACACCTTGCCAAGCCATTGGTTATTCGCGGTAAAAGTCTGTCAGAAAAAAATTAGAATTGTTTTTCAACACCAGAGAAAGCTGGCATGAGAGTGCTTTTTTCAGGCATTTGAGTTGACATAACCTAATTTTTTTCACCTCAGATTTACCATGGTTGGGGCTGAGGAGTGCAGTGTAGCCCATTTTTTGGGAAATGCTGACATCCCCACAGCATGCAGCCTACTTCCTACACAGTTGGTCATCATCCTAGCCAATTAGTGAATTGGATTGAGTCCATTGTGTTTATTACTAAATATTATTCTGAAGTATGTTGCCTGCCAGCATGAATTCATCCAGTGATGGTCATAATAATAAATGTTTGAGAAAAATATATTATATGGTCATATGATTGCAGTCATGTGATGTATTATGTATCAACTGACCTTGCAGTTTAGTGATCTGAACTATAGCATGTAGTAAAAACATAAATTATGGATTGTATATTGAAACTAAAGAGAGAGTTGATGATTCGTATTTGTTCCTAAGGTCACCTTCATTTCATTTATTTTGTAACTTAATGTAAAATTACAAATTCAGAAAACAAAAACACTAGAGTTGTCAAGAGGTGGACCAGATTGCACAGGTGGACCTGACAGTGATTTTTTGCGGCCAGCGAAACTGAATTCAAAAGCCTATATTTGTGGCTCACCACACATTTTTGACTAGAAAACACCTTGTTTTTTACGGTCAGACATCATTCATCTGTAAAAAGTAATGTTAAAACTGAGGATAAAGTGGTATAAAAGCAATGCATGAAGGGTTTTGGAAGCACGCTGTAAACATCAAAGTTTGGGTGCGGCCCTCTGTGTTAAATCAAAAATTTACTTTGGCCCTCTACCGATTTTTATGCCCACCCCTGGCTAATAGCAATATTATTTTTTTTTTAAATAAATAAAAAAACTCTCCAACCACCATCCAATAAAATAAAATAAAATATGAATTTAAATACATAGACTCATATAATAAAATTACCATATGAAATAGTTTAATAAGCATTTTATTTAAGCTACAGTAATAAAATGCATTATATTTTTGTTTCTGTACAAACAAAGTTCAGAATTGTGGCTTGTTCGCTTAGTCCAATACCAATTTTTGTATATTTTTGGTTGTTATGTTCATTGCCTTGTTCTAGGGCTAGGTTCGCTTCCTACTGACAAGACATTTTACACAAAGTAGTGTACAGTACATAAAATCCACTTCCCAAGTCTCATAAACTAATTGAGTTACCATCATGACTTGCTCCAAATGATTATCTTTGCTTTTTGGAATGCTATTGTTACTGTGCAGGTAAATAATATGGAAAATGTCTTAAATAAATAATAGTATAGTCAAAGATTCATACTTGAATACTAACTCCAGTGTATTAAATTCTCAGAAATTGAAACTTTTAAAACTAATTTTCCATTGTTATAGTTGTTCCTAATTAATCACAAATTTTTAATTTGAAATATATAGCATGCATTGAAAGATTCAAATTTTTGATTTTTTTTTAATTTTTCCCCATAATCAAAAGAAATCATCTGCATTATGTTTTAATTCACGTAAGATTTATAAATTTCGTTTTATTACTGTAGGCTTTAGCTGGTAGTCTGGAATTACCAAACGAGACTCTGATGAATCGACTTGGTGCCCTCTATAGACTTTTCTCATTATTCCATGGCTCCATTACCAAGGTTCAACAGGTACATTATTTATAACTACTGTATTACCTGAGGATATGGATCAATATCCGGTCATTTTCTTAATAATCATTCTTTTAGTATAGAAATATATATACATTTTCTGCAATTTGACACCAAAACCAACCGTCTATGACATGTAATTACCGAGGTATGACAATGCCTTGCAATATAGGGCAAAGTACATTCCCAATTTTTTTAAGATACAGTATTCCAATAGACAAAAGAAATATTTACTGTATATATATATATATATATATATATACAGTATATATCTCAGATGGCTGCCATTTTGAATTAGATGTATTTTTTAAAGATGTATTGTCCCCTGAAAATGACAACAAATCAACAAATAATAATTCAAAAATTAACTTACTCATTTAACAGTAGCATACAGATTATTAACTTGAGCATAGAAATTACTGAATTTAAAAAATGTGTATCCTGATTTTCATACTGGATAATGATATTAATAAAATAATAAAACAATTCCAGTGACTGTAAGTTTGTATCATTTTTCACTGTAAAATTATAGGTAGACATTTTTTAAATACACTATTTTCTGTGTTCATTTTATGTTACTTCTAAATGAGCAAGTTATTTTCAAAAATGATTTTTATGATTTTTTGGGGTATTTTGCGTGGGACAAATATTTCAGGTATAAATTAATGTATGCATGGCATTACCCTCTTCTGATTATGTGATGCATTAGAAATGATTATGAGCGCCCTCTATTATTATTTTACTTTATGGAAGAAATTTTAAATTACTGTAAATTCTATGAAGAACAGATTTTGCCTTCTTGTTGATCATACAAACTGCATATGATGATGAGCGTATGATACCAATGTTGTATGAATATGATGCATAGTTTAGACTCATCTTCAAAAGGTTTAACTGTATCTCAATTTTTATTCTGGTTTTGTTTCTTCCATCCTGTTTCTCTATGTTTTTGCACAGCATTGTTCTACCCTCCTCTTTACTTTGGTGCTTCGATCTTCACCAAACTTGGTCAGGGCCATATCCAGGATTAACATTGGGAAGGTGTGGAGATATGCAAGCAAAGACTATCAAAGATGTGCCCAGTAAAAAATGTTACTGGTACTTACAACAAAATTGCCCAATTTGTTTTCTTAAGCAGTTCAATGTAGTAAAGTTAAGTCACAATACAAATGTACCATGAAATGCAAAAACAGTCTTTGCACTCAACTTGTAAAATTTATGCAAGGCACTGTGACAGAATATACACTCATACACACTAAAAAAAAAACAGCACAATGGTTAGAACGCTTCATTTTACCCTCAGCAAGTTTTAGTCTCAGTGTAGCACTGATTTTTTTTTATGTATTTTTGTTTTACTTCATAATTTCAAACATCATTTTATAATTATTTCAATGGGGAAAAGCCATCTGTTTTACCAAATGCAATTTTTACTTGCATGGTTGCTGCTGTAGCTTTGTTATTACTCAGTGAAGAATTTCTTAATTACACTTACTTTTTATTCCTGAATATGTTGCATCCATATAATAAAAATGTTTGAATGATGTTAATTTCAGGAGTCTCTGAATAGAGACTTCTTCATCTGCACTATGAAAGATATCTGGAGCTGTTATCTACGTTTTGTTCATCGTCATGGCAACTCTGTGATGTCCTTATTTGAGTCCATTCCAGCTGTCAATATTCCAAAGGTAATGGTGCTGTTTTTTTTAGTGCAAATTTTGATGACCATTTAGAGAGGGGTTTTTTTTTTTTTATAATAAAACATGAATAGTGTGTAAAAACACCATATACAGGCTTGTCTAAACTATATTGCAAGAAGTTATAATATGTATATTTACAAATTTATTTACCATTTTGAAGTATAAAATATAACAAATATTATGTAAGCCCATTTGACCTTAGTCTGTTCTACATTTTGAATTTGAAAAGGGATAGATATAGATTTTAAATATTATTTAGAGCAGCTCAATATTATTTTTAATTGATGTAATTCTTTTGTAATGTGAGCTTTATATGATCAGTAATGATCACATACTTACTTATAACCAAGGTAAAATATAAACAAGTTATATTTAACTAATTGTTATCAGAATTCACATTTGTCTTCTATTTATAATATTGATTTTTATTTGCATTGCTGTGTGTTTCAAACAGGGAAAAATAAATGTATACCGGTAATTAAATGATATATTACAGGTATACAGTGCATCTTTAAAATATTGAATGGTCATTAAATTATTTATACATATGTTCAACTCTCGATCACAGTCTAAAGTTAGTTTACTTTGGTCACCTTATCACATCAGTTGTGTTAAGAAAAGTGGTAATCAGTTGATTGAATTCTTGTGGGCCTTGTTTACTTTTATAATTTCAACAAACAGAAATTAAGAGGGAAAGGGAATTAAGAATTTGACATAAAAAATGCTGTACGTTTATCCAAGTGGTACAATTGATTTATCTGTCGTAAACTATGTGTTTTTGTTATAGCTTTAGGCCTGGTTCACATTAGAGCATTCTGATCGTGATAGGTGCTAACCGTTAACCTAACCATTAGTGCAGTGTGAGAGAGACTGCTGCTAATGGTTACCAATCAAATGTAAACTTTCTCGACGCAAACATCATCCAATTCAAGCGTATTACTGCACTGTGTTTTTCTCCAACTTTTCTCTGTCACTTTTCATCCAAAATTGGCAACATTTAGTCCATCCCCATACATAATAATAATAATAATAATAGTGTAGTTTTATATAGCGCACATATCCATCTAATGTAAGATGTAAGATGCTCAGGGCGCTTGAAATGTGGACATGGATAATTTTTAGATTTTTTATTATATATACAGG